GTTTTTATTACATTTTAGAGAGAGTAGTTAAGATGAGAATCATTGATTGGCTGCCTCCTGCACACCCCTGTTGGGGATTGAGCCAAAACCCTGGGATGTGCCCTGACTGGGAATCAAACCTATGACCCCTGGGCATAGGTCAACACTCAACCAGTGAGCCACACCCAGCCGGGCATGGTGAAAAAAATGTTTGATGTTCAACCTAATATTATGATAGGAAGTATTTAGTTTTAAAAAATCTTTTGGGCCGAAACCGGTTTGGCTCAGTGGATAGAGCGTCGGCCTGTGGACTGAAGGGTCCCAGGTTCAGTTTTGGTCATGGGCATGTACCTTGTTGTGGTGCCGGCACATCCCTGGTAGGGGGTGTGCAGGAGACGGCTGATCAATGTTTCTCTCTCCTCGATGTTTCTAACTCTCTATCTTTCTCCCTTCCTCTCTGTAAAAAAAAAAAAAAAAAAAAAAATCAATAAAATATATTTTTTAAAAATCTTTTGGGGTCTAGAAACATATTCTGTAGACCACTGAGCTGGGATGTAGCCTTGGCCATCATGGGACATTTGCTTCCTTGGATTCCTCCTGTGGTGTCTTTCTCAGTCAGTAGAGGGGTGGGTGGGCTCGGCTCCATGACTGAATGCAACCCAGCTTCTGACTTGTGTTCTTCCTGCTCTGCTTGGCTTCAAGCTGAACTGATAAAGGGAGAAGATGGTTCCTTCTAACATGGAGACAGCAACTCCCGACTCCACTTCTGCATCCAGTCAGCCCTTATCCAATGGAGATGCTGTGGTGCCAGAGGTAAACGTGGAGACAGTAAATTGTACTTGAAAATCGCTGTCCATGTGGATGTGAGCCGTGTCCATTTCCGGGCTGCCCCATGCGTGGGCTGAGAGGCTCGCTCCCTCGCGTCTCTCGGAGCAGAACAGGGATGTGGATGCTACGGCCTGAGCTCTTTTTGCAACTGAATGTAGACTTTTGGTTAGCTGATGCTGGGTAGGGTGCACTTTGGGCCTGGCCCTGGGCGCCAGGCACCCTCTGTTACCAGTTGCTCATGTCATCATTCAGTCTCCAACGGCAACCCTCTGAGCTGTCCTCATGGCATTCCCTCACAGGGCAGCCATGTGGGGGGTCTTTTTCCCCCCAGAATCAAGACATGTGTGTGTTGGGAACCAAATGTAGTTTCCGGAATCAATTGGCCTACGTTTGATCCCAACACTGACACTCTCAGCTGCCTGACCTTGGGGTTCTTCCTCCTTCTAGGTGCCTGCTTTTCCATCTTCAAAGGGCAGGAAAACAGTATTTACTTCAGGTGGCTGGTGAGAGGAGTGAGTGTAGGTAGTTTGGGCCCTTAGAAAAAGCTGCTTTTCTTGCTTTTACATGTTTTCAAGCTACAGATCAGCTTCTTTCAAGCTGACTCCATTTTCATGATCAACATTATCAGTATCTTTAATATATATATATATATTGACTTTTTACAAAGAGGAAGGGAGAGGGACAGAGAGCCAGACACATCAATGAGAGAGAAACATAGACCAGCTGCCTTCTGCACACCCCCTACCGGGCATGTGCCCGCAACCAATGTACATGCCCTTGACCAGAATCGAGCCTGGGACCTTCCAGTCCTCAGACTGACACTCTATCAACTGAGCCAAACTGGTTTTGGTTATTTTACTATCTTAAATGTTGTTATGGAGAAAAATTGCACTAGACACTTAAAAAAAATAGCAAAGAAGATTTTATTCAAGACTATTGCAATGGAGGAGAGAGACTGAGCTCAGTGTGGAATATAAGGACAACTGGGATTTATAGCCAGTGGGGGGCAGGGTGAGAGGGAGAGGAGGGAGAAATGCTAACAAAAACTTGGTTGAGATTGAGGGGTGGGGGAGAGGGAGGGACTTAATTAGCTACCAAAGCTGAGGGATTCTGGATGAACTGGCTTAGCAGCAGGTTGAGGAGAGGGTTCAACAGAGCCCCACCTGGGTTGGTTGAGGGAGTCCTTGCCAGTGTGCACCCCCTTTTCTACTGAACTTTGTCAGTATTCCCATGTACGAAGTTTGAACTCATGCATATTCTGTAAGGCAGTGGTTTGTAACCTGAGGCAGTTTTGCCTCTTGGAACATGTAGCAAAGTCTGGAGACATTTTGGAGACCCTAACCAGTTTGACTCTGTGGATAGAGTGTTGGCCTAAAGACTAAAGGGTCCCAGGTTCAATTCCAGTCAAGGGAATGTACTTTGGTTGCAGGCTCAATCACCAGTAGGGGTTGTGCAGGAGGCAGCTGATCGATCTTTCTTCTCTCATTGATGTTTCTAACTCTCTATCCCTCTCCCTTTCTCTCTGTAAAAAATCAATCCTATATAATAAAAACCTAATATGCTAAGTGTCCAGTCGTCCAGATGTCCATTTAACTAATCAAAGCATAATATGCTAATGATATACTAAGGCCATTCAACTGCTCACTATGATGTGCATTGATAGGGGAGACAGTTGAGTGGTAGGTTAGCTTGCTGTTGGGGTCTGGCCAATTAGACTGAGTGAGATGGGCTGGACATGTCCTGGGGCACTCCCACAGTCCCTCCCCAGGTGGCCAAACTCCTGCATTCCTCCCCAGCCCCATTGTGCACCAGTGGGGTCCCTCAGCCCGGCCTGTGCCCTCTCACAGTCTGGGAACCCCATAATTGATCACCCCAAAGAGGTTAACCCTGCCAATCCTAGCCAGGGTTCCACAATGGATAGCCCCCACAGGGGGAGGCCCCACCCACCCATCACAGCCCACCTGTTGATGGTCTGGACCTCCCTCTGCAAGGCGATCACCAGGCGATGGCTGGGCCCCCAACCAATCACATCACACCTCTTTTGGCTGGTGGTACCAGTGGGTGTCATAGCATGGTTGTCCAGAAGGATGTCCAGATGGTAGTTCTGCTATTTGGTCATTCAGTTGATTTGTATATTATGCTTTTATTATTATAAATTTCATTGTTTGGATTACTGAAGCTTTATAACAATTATTGAAATATAGTAATGTTAGCCCTCCAATTTTGTTCCTCACTTTCAAAGTCATTTTGGCTGTTCTATGAGTATTTAGACCATGTGTATTTGTTGTGGTTGTTAGTATGAAAAATTGGTTTTGAGAAGACCATTTTGATATTTATTTTCTATTTACCCTATCTGTTCTTCATTTCTTCTTTTTCTACCTTCTTTTAAATTCATCAAGTATTTTTTTTTTTATGATTCTATTTTACCTTCTTTGTTGGCTTATTACACAGAACTGCCTGAGTGTCTCTATTAAACATTATTAACTTACCAAGTCTACCTTCAAGGAATATTATAATATTTCATGTCTAATATAAGAACCTGACCATAGTATGCTCTCATGTCTCCCCTCCTGGCCTTCATGCTATTTTTGTCAAGAATTTTAGCTTTACCTATATCATAAACCCCACAATGCATTGTTATTTTGTTCAGTCAAATATATTTTAAATGTAGTATTTAAGTAATTTAAAAAGTATAATAGTTACCACTTCTAGTGTAGATTCCTTTGGGTAGATGAAGATTCCCATCAGTGCATTTTCCTTTTCTGGAAGGAATTTAACATTTCCTGTGGTTGTGACGAATTTGTTCCCCTGTGGTACATCTGAAAGAAGCTTTAGTTCACTTTCATTTTTAAAAGGTATATTCAGTATTTTAAAAGTGCCGCTCCAATGTCTTCTCACTTGCATGATTCCTGACGAGAAGTCTGCTGAAATCTCCTCACCTATGTTCCTCTGTACGTAACATGTCATTCCCTGACTGCTTTAACCATTTTCTCAATATCGCTGTGTTTGAGCAGTTGGACTAGATGGATGTAGTTCACTTTATGTTTTTTGTGCTTGGGGTTCATTGAGTTTCTTGGACCTTTGGGTTAATAGTTTTCATCAACGTTGGGAAAATGTTAGTCAATCATTTCTTCACTTTTTTCCCCCCTGTTTCTCTCCTTCTCTCTTTGGTCACTCAAATAAGCTGTATATTAGGCAAGTTGAAGTTGTCCATCTTGATGGAGCATGACCTGCAGTCCATGACAGAATTCTCTGATTGTGCTTTTGCTAGACACTGGAGACCAGCCTGTGCAGTCAGTACGAGGAGAAGGTGCGGCCCTGCATCGACCTCATCGACTCCCTGCGGGCCCTGGGCGTGGAGCAGGACCTGGCCCTGCCTGCCATCGCCGTTATCGGGGACCAGAGCTCGGGCAAGAGCTCCGTGCTGGAGGCGCTGTCGGGCGTTGCCCTCCCCAGAGGCAGCGGTGAGCACTTGCCCTCTTTATCTGTCGGCTGCAGCTGCCGTACAAGCTACTATAGGCTGAGAGGCTTAAACAATAGAAATTTGTTTCTCACAGTTCCGGAGGCTAGAAGTTCTAGATCAAAGCCTCTCTCGTGCAGATGACCATCTTCTCATTGAGTCCTCACGTGGCCTTTTGTCTGTGTGTACACATGTGTGGTGTCTCTTCCTCTTTTTAGGATGTCAGCCATATTAGTTAGCGACCCACCCTTGTGATCTTATTTAAACCTTAATCACCTCTTTAACGGAGGTTCCTGTCTTCAAATGCAGTCATGTTGGAGGTGGGAGTTTCAACATGTACATTTTGAGGGGGGCGCTATTCAGTCCAAAATACCCATTTACTGCACCGTTCTGTGTGGTTTGTACATAACCTGCACCGAGTGAGAGGTCTTGAGTAAGTGCATATGGGTCTCCAGCCCAGAATTCTGTGCATGTGGGCATCTTTCCTGAGCCCCTTCCCCAGAGCTGACCCTCCATCAGAGAGGCAAAGAATGGTTCTCTGGTCAATGGTGCTGTTTGAGCTACAAGACCAAGGATATCAGCGAGGGCTCATGGACACAGACAGACCTGAAATGGGTCTTGATCTGCTCTGGATGTGGAAGATGGATAGATGGGGTTTGGAAGGAGTTTACAGGAAGGTGGCCTGGTAGGAGCAGGATGCCTTTCTGACTGGAGTGGTGTGTAGCCTATTTAATGAAAGAGTAATATGCAAATTGACCATCACTCCAACAGGCAAGATGGCTGCCCACATGTGGTCAAAGATGGCTGCCCCCATGTAAACACAAGATGGCTGCCACAAGATGGCCTCCAGGGGAAGACAGTTGTGGGCGATCAGGCCAGCAGGGGAGGGCAGTTAGGGGTGACTAGTCCAGCAGAGGAGGGCAGTTGGGGAGTACTGGGCCAGCAGAGAAGGGCAGTTGGGGGAGGGGAGGAATGGGCCTGTAGGGAAGGACAGTTGGGGGGAACCAGTACTGCAGGAGAGGAAAGTTGGGGGAAGGGGGAGGGACCAGGCCAGCAGGGGAGCAGTTAGGCATTGATCAGGCTGGCAGGAGATTGGTTAGGGATGATCAAGCTGGCAGGCAGAAGTGGTTAGGGGCAATCAGGCAGGCAGGCAGGTGAACTTTTGGGAGCCAACAGTCCTGGATTGTGAGCAGGAAGTTCGACTGCCCGTTTAGAGCCGATCCCACCAGACATCCCTCAAAGGGTCCCAGATTGAAGAGGTTGCAGCCTGGGCTGAGGGACACCCCTAACCCCCATCCACAAATTTCATGCACGGGGCCTCTAGTATTGGGATAATGGAGGGTATTTGCATAAGTTCTTTGTTTTCCACCTGAGTTGGGGACAAAACACTGGGATGAAGCAAGATACTTAAAATAGTGGCTTTCAAGCATTAGGGAGCCCCAAATCACCTCAGATGTGTGTTCTCAGTACATATTTCTGAGGCTACCACAGATGTCATGTGTCAGGGTATCAGAGGGTGAGACCAGAACGTTAGCAGTGTGAACAGGCCCCAAGATTATATGAGAGCCACTGATATAAGATTATATCTTTGAGAGCCACTGATCTAAGGCCACCATATAGGACTTTTAAGAGCAGAGTCTGGGACTGATATACACCTGGCCTCCTAGGTATTGTTACAAGATGCCCCCTGGTGCTGAAACTGAGAAAGCTTAGGCATGATGATGATGAATGGAAAGGCAGAATCACTTACCGGGAAATGGAGATTGATCTTACGGCCGCTTCGGAGGTAGAACAGGAAATCAGGAAAGGTACGTACCCCGTGTTCATTCATCTTCACCTGTTTGGATGTCAGGTCAAACCATGTGAAGAGCGTGGGGTCTGCCTGTCAATGTTTCCACTCTCTCCTTTTGGGGCCCACCTGGCACTCTTGGGAACCATCCATTCCTTCCTCTCCTTCCTGCTCAACAGGCCCCAGCTCTCTCGTATTTTATCTTCTTTTCCCTCATTAAGATCAGTGCTTTTGAACAGAGCCTGACCTCAGTAATGTATTGCATAGTGTATAAGTTAAGTATCTGAGGATGGTGTGAATTTTAAAATGTAAAGCTTGTCTCCAAATATTGAGTCTTTTTTATTCAAGGGCTTCCCCACTCCACAGACCTGATGGAAAGAGAATCTGGGTAGGTCTTTTCCTCAGGAGCAGAACAGATGTGTTTACAGAATCCTTGCTTAGACTGATTTATGGAAGGTCTTGGTAAATGTAAACCAGAGACCATTTGACCAATTTGAAACACCCAAAGGTAGAAATCAGACTTGAACTTGATAAAGACTAAGGAGTAACACAGTTAGTTGCTGCCTACTGTGATTGAGATGAATAGATAACTGTTCCTTATTGATTTAATTTTTTCCATGCCATATACTTAAGTTTTAGTCATTTTGGGAAGATACAAAAGTGACTAGTAGGTGTTGCCTTCAGAGGATTCGCTGTAATGGGTTACTTTCATCCTAAGTGCTACTGGGTTTTTCTTTTTTTCTTCTTCTCTAGCCCAGAATGTCATTGCTGGGGAAGGTGTGGGAATCAGTTATGAGCTAATTAATCTGGAGGTCAGCTCCCCTCACGTGCCAGATCTGACCCTGATAGACCTTCCTGGCATCACCAGAGTTGCTGTGGGCAATCAGCCAGCTGACATCGGACGTCAGGTGAAACTTAAGGCTCCATTTTGGTCTTGGTCTTGGTATTTGTCTTAGTCTTGTCGGGGAGGGAGGCTGCGTTAGAGCAATAGTGAATCCAGGGCTGAGGTTGAGGAGTGGATATTAGGAGGTATGCGTAGGGAATTTAGAGAGCATGATGGCTGCAGTTTCTTCCATCAAGTCAGGTAGAGGCTTCTCTGGAGAGAGTGAGGCAAACAGGCAAAATTGGAAATAGGTTTTCTATGTTTTTGTTTTTTACATGATGCATTTTTAGGTAGAGTCACATTTTGTGGCATATCTAAAGGGGCATGTATTAGAGAAGGGTCTTACGTGGGACGAGAGGACATTAGAAACAATATAATGACATTTCCCTATAAATGACTCTTACCCTGTGGATTAATGATTTAGGCAAGACTTGAGCAATTTTTGTGGCATCTTGTTTTCTGTGACCATCAGATTTGAGGTTTTAGGAGATGATTAGTGAATGGAAACCTTGATTTTCCCTGACCCCAGAGCTCTTTCTGCCATAGAGAAGTTAGTTTCTCATAACTCTGGCTCGGGAACAGCTACGAGGCTTGTGTTGAGGGGAGGATACTCCTGGGACTCCAAGGACCTATCTCAGCTCTCACATCCTCTCATTTTCTTACAGATTACAGCTCTCATCAAGAAGTACATCCTGAGGCAGCAGACCATCATGTTGGTGGTGGTGCCCAGTAACGTGGACATCGCCACCACAGAGGCGCTGAGCATGGCCCAGGAGGTAGACCCCGAAGGAGACAGGACCATAGGTAAGAAGAGGGACAAACCTACAAATGGTAGGTGGTCTGGTAGTGGGAAAGCATCCCTTGAATCCAAATGGGTGTTTGTTGGCACCTGTGCAGGGGTGGGGGCTGCACCCAGCAGATGAGACTACTAAGGTCTCACGATTGGTGCCCCCTGAGTCCCGATGGCGTGGGCCACGTGGATTCTTGTTGGCCACAAGTTGGCTCCTAACCCTTGTCCGCCTACGTACAAAAGGCATGGTGAGCTCAGGGAGTGGGGCAAAACCTGAAAGCAATTAGGTCCGTTAACAATGAATTTGAGGGTGGGAAGAAAGGAAGGACATGTGACCCATGCCACAACATGGATGAATTTTGAAAATATTTTGCCAGGAGAAATAAGCCAAATAGCACATATATTGGGTTCTTAGAGGAGTCAAATTCATCGAGATACAAAGAAGAATGGGGGCTGCCAGGGGCTGGGAGGGGTGAACGGGGAGTCAGTGTTTCATAGGGACAGAGTGTCCAATGGGGAAGATGGAAAGTTCTGTGCCTTGCACCTGGGCTCCGCAAGCCCTATTGTCCGCCCTCAAGCGAGGTTGGGAGGGAGCGGGTGGCCAGGAGACTCTCCTCCCTCAGGCGGTGAGCTGACCCCTCCTCGCTCCCGCGGAGCTGGGAGCATCCCCTCATGGAAAGTCTCGGGTACACAGGGATCCTGACAAAGCCCGACCTGGTGGACAGAGGCACCGAAGACAGAGTCGTGGACGTGGTGCGGAACCTGGTCTACCACCTGAAGAAGGGCTACATGATTGTCAAGTGCCGGGGCCAGCAGGACATCCAGTACCAGATGAGCCTGGACAAGGCTCTGCAGAGGGAGAGGGCCTTCTTCGAGGACCATCCCTATTTCAGGTACGCCCGCCTCTGCTTTCCCCAGATCAGACTCTAACCATGTACCTCTGTCCTCCCGGGGAAAACTGCCACTTCCAAAAGCGGACACAGGCGTGTATGTGTGAGTGTTTGATCCTGGAGAGCGACTGTGGGATTTCCCTGGAAGAAAGAATTCCCTGGAGGAATTCACATGCATGGCAAAATAATAATAATAATAATAATAATAAATAACTTGTAAAAAATCAAAGTAAGGAGTGAACTTGCTACCATAATTTAAACAGTATGGTGCTGGAACCAGAATAAAAGCATAACCACAACAAATAGAAAAAAAAAAAAGTAGAAAATCCAGAAGTAGACCCAGATACATGAATGATATAAATGATAAATGTGGCATTTCAAATCGATGGGCCGTGTCATTTTGATGATTCATCAGTGACACCGAAAAAATCATTTAATGTTTGGGAGGAAAAGTTAAACTTCGTGTCCTGAGCATTCACATTACACCAAAATAAATACCTGTGGAAGCTTATAGATGGAGAGTTTAGAATCCCATAGTAGAGATCTTTCTAACTCTAAGGCTAAAGATACATTTTTTTAAAATATATATTTTATTGATTTTTTTTTTCAGAGAGGAAGGGAGAGGGATAGAGAGCCAGAAACATCGTCGAGAAACATCGACCAGCTGCCTCCTGCACTACCCCTACCAGGGATGTGCCCGCAACCAATGTACATGCCTTTACCGGAATTGAACCTGGGACCCTTTAGTCCACAGGCCGACGCTCTATCCACTGAGCCAAACCGGTTTCGGCCAAAGATAACTTTTTTTTACAAAGGAAAAGACTGCTACATTGGCCAGATTTAAAGTACGGAGAAGATGCAGAGTTGGCGGGAAAGGAGGCACCTGGCTCTGTCCCATGCCAGGGAGCCTTCCGGCACAACCTCTGCAGGGCACTTTGGTACCGGGCCCAAAAGATGTCAATGGAAAGGTGCTTATAGGATGTTGAGGCCCCTGTGTGCACACCTGCGCATGCAGGTGGAGCCCCACACACATTGTTAATATCATTACAATCAATTCTCCCAGAAGCACGTGGAGAGGACTTGTTCAGAACTGACAGGTGTGTAAACAGATATTCACACACCTCTGAGCACAGCCAGCACTCGTCACAAAAGCCGAAAGATGAAACAACTCAAGTATCTATCGATGGATGAATGAATAAACAAAATGTGATCTGTTCATACGATGGACTGTTAGCCTTAAGAAAGAACGTTCTGGCACTGCTACAATATGGATGAACCCTGAGAACATTATACTAAGACTTAGTTACTTAGTGAAATAAGCTGGTCATAGAAAGACAGCACTGTATGGTTTACGTAAGGTCGCGAGAGTGACCGTAGTCATGGTGGCAGTGTGTAGGATGGCAGGAGCCAGGGCCTGGAGCTGGGGGATGGGGAGTTAGTGTAGGATGGGGACAGAGTTTCCGTTTGAGGAGGTGGAACATTCAGGAGCAGGATGGTGGGGATGGGTGCACAACAGCATCACTGCGCTTCATACCCTGAACTGTGTACTTAACAAGGGTTAAAACGGTAAGTCTTATGAGATATGAATTTCATGACAATTAGCCAAATTGACAGCTGTGGAAAGAGAACTTAAGCTTGTGTGTAATCTCACTAGTAGGTATGCCAACTCATGCTTTCCTGCCTTTTAACCTTTGTGCAAGGTCAGAACCCTGTAATAAATAACTCGCCCTGGGAACTCAGAGTTGGACAGAGCGAGAAAAGGGCGTGGCTTCCTTCACCCCAGCAGCCATGGCTTCAGTCCTCATCTCGGGGAAGCAGTGTCCCCTGGTTCCATGTTCGCCCTCACACCTGTGTACATACAGGTCAATATATTGTTAGGAAGTCCTCTACCGATATGCACTATATTTACATGTGTGGTACACACAGAAGTGTGTGTGTGTGTGTGTGTGTGTGTGTGTGATGAAAACATACCCGAAGGCGACTATATTTTTGTAAAGACACATTTCATACATCAATTGGAAAGGGTCCTTTACTGCTTTTGGATGATCTGAATTTACTAAAATGCAGGCGTCCTTCTGAACATTGGCGGGGCACCTTACCCACCGCAGGGCACTCCTTTTGTGGCCAACTGAGATGGGCATGTGTGTGCTGTCTTCTCTTGCAGGGATCTCCTGGAGGAGGGCAAGGCCACCATCCCCTGCCTGGCAGAGAGACTGACCAATGAGCTCATCGCACACATCAGTGTAAGCACGGGGAGGGCTGTCTGTTCTCCAGGCAGAACCCTACAAGCAGCCAGCCGAGCCGTGGCTTGGCGACGCTGACACACCAGCGGGCACAGGGAGCCCCCGGGCGTCTGTGGAGACGCAGGCCCAGGGTCCAAGGGTGTGGAGTGTGGCCTGAAAGCCCCCGTTTCCAGAGAGGGCCCGGGCCCAGGTCATGCCTGGTGCATGTCAGAGGACCACCCAGCCAGTGGGATGCTTGACAGCCTGTGTCTGCTCAGCCGAACTAAAAATCAGGACCTTCTGAGGGCTGTTCTGGCTCTTCCTTTCTCACCGTCTCTACCACTGTCAGCTTGTCTTGGTAATTGTAATGGCCGTGTTTCCTTTCTTACCTTTCTCTGCTGCTTTTCCAGTCTGACCGCACAGGCTCTTGCTCTTTCCCATTTTCCATCCTTTCAGAAGTTGCCTTTGCATGCATTTCTCTTGTCCTTTGAACTTGACGGTTCCAGCATCGGAAGCCGGGCGTGCTGGGTTCCGCGGGCCGTCCCCACAGGGACTGGGGCCGGAATTGTGGCCGGGAGCCTGAGCTTCTTGGAACTTGGTCTTGAACTTGGGGACTGGCAGGAGCCTGGGTTCGATGGGGCTCTTCAGGGAGAGGCAGAGTTTGCTTCTAGCTTGAGCCGTGCTAGCTGCTTGGCTGGAGGTTTGGGGACCCCTCAGCAAGGGTGAAGTTGGGGAGCAAACCTGTGTGAGGGCTGGCGGTGGGTACAGACTCTCCATGGAGACTCTCTCTTCCAGGAGTGGGCTGGCGGGCAGGCTGTGCCTCCTGCTGTGACGAGGGCATTGGGGCGGGTCCCGGGTTTAGGTAGACAGCAGGTGCTCTCCCTTAGAAGCCTGCCTGGAGCAGGCCCCGGGGATTTCTCCTTTGCCTCAGCATCAGGGTTCGAGCTTTCTCTCCAATGATTGCCCTGGAGGCCACCTCAAGCCTCCCTGCGGCTCCCCTCACACCCGTGGGCGCCCACGGTCAGCTGGCTTTGGCTGCTGGGTTTCTGAACGCCTGCCAGCTCACGGACACGGTTAAGGGCTGCTTGTGACGTGTCGCCGAGGCAGGCTGAGTCGGCACGTGCGCTCCACCATGTGATTGTTACTAGAGACACAAGTGCCTGGTCGCTTTCCGTCTTGAATACCAGCATGGAAGTTGCTTAATCTCAAACTGTTGCAACTGCACTTGCCCCGAACCCACTAGACAAGTGGCTTTTCCAGGGCCCAGGAGCCAGCCCAGGGTCGCCTGGCACGGCCGAGGCTGTTTGCAGGGGAGCGGGAGGGCCGGCAGGCCCCGGGGAGGGCGGGAACCAGTGCCCTGTCTCCAGGCAGGAGAGTCCTTCTGGAGAGAGCCAGGAGGTCCGATGCACTGCTCGGCTGCCCCACCCCTCGCAGTGGGAGGCCTGGGCCCTTCTTTCCGTTCCCGTTTCACGTTCCTGTGTCCCCGTGACTTGCTGTTTCCCCCAGAAATCTCTGCCCCTGCTGGAAAGTCAGATAAAGGAGAACCAGCAGACCATCACGGAGCAGCTGCAGAAGTATGGCCTGGACATCCCGGAAGACGAAACGGAGAAAATGTTCTTCCTGATTGAAGTGAGTAGCTGTGGCGTCGCGCTGAAGGGTCGCACCCTGAGCATAAGACAGGGGCTGCGGGCCTCATGCTCTTCTCTCCTTTCTGTCCCCTGAGCGTCAGGGAGGGGCCGGGGTGACGGAGGGTGGGGCAGGGAAGGTGGAGGGTCACCTTGCTCCTTGATTCTTCATCATGGGACTCACCCAGACCCGGAAGGCCTTGAGGGAAGAGTCGGGGGGTCTGGTGCCCGTTCCCCAGAGTGGCCCGTAGGCAGCCAGAATGCCTGGCCCCCTCAGCACGCACACCATCTCCAGATCCCACGGCACTCGCGTCTGAACTAGCTCCCCTCGTGCCTCCTCTCCACAGAGGATCAACACGTTCAATCAGGACATCCAGGCGTTGGTGGAGGGGGAGGAGACTGTGGGGGGCGACGACAGCCGGCTGTTCACCAAGATCCGGCTGGAGTTCTGCAAGTGGGGCCTGGAGATCGAGAACAATTTCCAGAGAGGTGAGTGTGTGCCCTCCCCCCACAGCTCCATCCCCCACAGCTCCATCCCCTCTGCAGCCCGCCCTCCGTTACTCCGCCAGCACAAGGCAGGGGGCGCCGGCGGGGCTGCCGCGTGGCTGAAGCGGCAAGGCTTGTGCTCCGTGAAGGACGCGAGGCACAGAAAGCCACGTGCCGTGTGATTCCTTTCACGGGAAATGTCCGCGGTGGGCAGATCCACCGAGACCGCAGGTAGATCTGCGGTTTGCAGGGGCTGAGGAAGGGGGGTGGGAGCGGCCCTCGATGGGCACCGGGTTCCGGGGGGCCCCGGTGGGAATGCTGGAGGGTTAGATAGCCGTGATGGCCACCCAGCTTTGTGACCATACCCCAGACCGCCAACTCGTACGCCCTGATAGGGTGAGTTGTGCGATGCACGGGTTGTATCCCCATTTGGGGAATTTCTATGGGAAAGCATCTCCTGACCAAGAATAGGAACAGGGGCTACCACCATGGTTAGTTCTCCCCAACGAGGAGCCAGCGTCCTGCTGAATTTACCCCCTCCTCCCCCTGGGGTGTTTTTCTTCACTCGAGTATGTTGAGAATAAAAAGAAGTCCAGCCCGGTCAGCGTGGCTCAACCTGTGAGCGTCCACCTGTGAACCAGGAAGTCACGGTTCAATTCCCGGTCAGGGCGCAGGCCCCCGTTGCAGGTCCCAGTGTGGGCGTGCAGGAGGCAGCTGATCCATGATTCTCTCCCATCATTGATGTTTCTATCTCACTCCCTCTCCCTTCCTCTCTGAAACCAATATAAAAGATATATGTTTTTAAGAAAGAATTCCAAACATATGAAGAAAAGTGATTATCTTTACGTAGTAAACCTATCACACTAATAGGATCCTGTATGCCGGGGATTGTAGGATCCCCCTTGGTCTGCACGGTCCCCCTCCTCCTGCGATAGCACATGAGGAGGGGATGCCTAGAGGATTCCTGGTGGTGGTCATGGTCAATCTCACTTTTTTTTTTTTTAAATATATTTTATTGATTTTGTACAGAGAGGAAGGGAGAGAGAGAGTTAGAAACATCGATGAGAGAGACTCATCGATCAGCTGCCTCTTGCACACCTCACACTGGGATGTGCCCGCAACCAAGGTACATGCCCTTGACCGGAATCGAAGCCAGGACCCTTCAGTCCCCAAGCCGACGCTCTATCCATTGAGCCAAACGGGTCTCGGCCAATCTCACTTTCTTAAGGCCCTGCCAGTCATACTGTTCTCTTCTGATGCAATCGCTTTGGTGACAACCCAGTTGGATGAACAACCGTTCAGACTCTGGTACCTTTTTGAGAATCCCAGCAGGTCTGCAGTCCCTGCTCGCTGACCTTGTGTCTGGCTCTGTCCCTGCCTTCTCTAGGGGACCCAGAGTGCATACATGAAGGGCTGTTTCCTTATTGCAACCCCCGGTCGGTTTCCGATGTGTACATCAGATGTGATTTTTCCCCATGTCACTGTGCTTCCAGAGAGTTCGGGATGGCGCTATGTTCAGAGAAGCCTGCAGCATTTTTATTTTTTATATATTTTATTGATTTTTGTTTTAGAGAGAGGAAGGGAGATAGAGAGCTAGAAACATCGATGAGAGAGAGACATCGACCAGCTGCCTCCTGCACACCCCCTACCGGGGATGTGCCTGCAATCAAGGTACATGCCCCTGATCAGAATCGAACCTGGGACCTTTCAGTCCACAGGCCGACGCTCTATCCACTGAGCCAAACTGGATAATAAAATGTGAAAAAGTAATTTTACATCATTTTTGTAAAATAACTCGGAGCCCTTCCTTCCCGTGGCAGGTTATGAGGACATTGTCAAACAGATCAGGAAGTTTGAAAACCAGTATCGCGGCAGGGAGCTGCCGGGGTTCGTGAACTACAAGACGTTCGAGCTGATCATAAAGAAGCAGGTGAAGGCCCTGGAGGACCCGGCGGTGGAGATGCTGCACAGGGTCACCGGTGAGTCCTCCGGGTGTGCCCTCCGGCCGGGCCAGACCGCTGGGCGCTCCCCTGAGGCAAGAACGGTCTTCCGGAACAGCCAGTGGGCAGGGCCAGCGTCTGTGCTGCCAGGCCAGCCATGGTGGTCCCGGCGCTGCAGAGGTGGCGGGAGAGGGGGCTCCACAGAGGCAGGATGGGGCATGACCATCCTCAACCTCCCACGGCCCTCCCTCCAGCTAGCCTGCCCCCCCCCACCAGTGTGTGTGTGTGTGTGTGGGGGGGAGGGGCAGCGCTAAGGAGCAGCAAGCCAGCTTCTGATAGAGTGACACTCCCTCCACTGCTCCCCTGCTCAGCCAGAAGCCGGGGTCCTGGATTGTGAGAGTCCCGGACTGTGAGAGGGATGTCTGAGTGCCGGCTTAGGCCCAGGGGGATCAGGCCTAAGCCGGCAATTGAACATCCCCCACGGGGTCCCGGATTGCGAGAGGGCATACAGGAGGCAGCCAATCAGTAGTTCTCTCTCATCATAGATGTTTCTATCTCTCCCTCCCTCTCTGGAATCATTAAAAAATATATATTTAAAATTCTTTTAGGGAGCTCTTGAGCCAAAAAGCACTCCTTCTTCCTTTAGTGAAAAGACGAGAGGGAGGTGGGGAGGAGGGAGGGACGGAGGGCACTTTTGTTGTCATTTTATCCTCTTATTTTTTTTGCAGTCTATTAAGATGATGAATGATCCCACCAATACTGGGCCTTTCGTTTTTCTTTCATCAGATATGGTCCGGCTTGCCTTCGCAGATGCTTGCAAGAAAAACTACGAGGAGTTCTTCAACCTCTTAAGAACCTGCGTGGTAAAACCAAACATTTGTTTAAAAAGAAAATAACTAATCCTTGATGCTAGAAAATAGGTTTCGGTTTCCTGGATGTAAGACCGTTGCAACCTTACTGTTCTATTTTGGAGAATCAGATTACGCGGTCTATTAGTGAATCATGCTCATTGTATGACCAGTGAAGTCTGGCTAAAAGCAATGAGAGAGAGAGAGAGAGAGAGAGAGAGAGAGAGAGAGAGAGATATGAGGGAAGGGTGAAACCTCTGGCATTTCTTTTTTCTAAAGTACTAATCCCACTAAAGATACTAATCCCATTCTGAGGACCCCACTCTCCTGGCCTCGACCTCCGGAAGGCCCTCCCCCCAAACCCAGCACGTTGGAATTGGAATGTCGGTATATGAATTTGGGGGACACAGACATCCAGCCCCGAGCACGCAGCACAGACGGGAAGGCCGGCTCTGCTGTGCAGCAGCTGGAGGTCACGGCCGCCCCTCAGCCTGCCTGGCCTGCAGCTCCTCCTCCGCAGCGCAGGCCTGCAGCAGCCTCCTCACCTCACAAGGTTGTTGTGAACCCTGAGGCCACACCTGGCAGGGGCCCCCACTTCCTGGCGCTCAGGGAGGTGGGGGTCCAGGTGCCTTCTGTGTGAAGACGTCCCAGCTCCTAGGTCGCCAGTTTCTCTGAGTCCCAGGAGAGAGGATTTGACTGACGTCAGCTCATCCCTCTGATCCCAGGGGCTCTCTGATGGGTAGACACTCACCACATGGAAAGGCCAGGAAAAGAGAAACCAAAGAGGCCAAGTTCTCAGGCTCTGGGGATGAGGGGTCTGGCTATGTGTGGGGTTCAGGCTTTTCAGGAGTTCTGGGCCTCTGTGGAGGGTGGGAACCCCATCTTAGGTAAGCCGAGGCGGGGTGCAGAAGGCTGCCCCCAGAGCATTGTGCTGTTTTCATTCCGGTTGGAGAACCTCCTGCCAGCTGGGGGCGGGGGGGGGGGAAGGGCCCTGTGGATAACCCACTTTCCTAGGGGGTTGATTTCTGGAGGGAAATCGTGTTGTGTGTCTCTTGCGCCTTAGTCCAAAATTGAAGACATTAAGTCAGAACAAGAAAAAGAAGCGGAGAAGTCCATCCGACTGCACTTCCAGATGGAGCAGATTGTCTACTGCCAAGACCAGGCGTACCGCACTGTGCTGGAAAAGATCCGAGGGAAGGAAGCCGAAGCGAAGAAGAAGAAGCAGGAGCAGATTGTCTTTGAAGCGGACCCTTTGACTTGCTCCCTCTCCGAAATCCTCCAACACCTGATGGCCTACCGCCTGGTGAGTCTGCGCCTGTCTCCGAAAGATGCTTTCTGTCTCGTTTCCTGACTTCCTGCCTCGGGAGGGTACCCACCAGCCAGCTCCATCCTTCAGCCCTTTGTTTGCCTCCATAGAAGCAGCTCAGCCTCTGACGAGGAGAAGAGGCTGTGACTTAGAGCCGCTCACACCGTGTGTGTGTGTGTGTGTGTGTGTGTGTGTGTGTGTGTGTGTTTAATGTTTTTATTGCTTTTTAAAGAGAGAGAAAGGGAGGATAGAGAGATAGAAACATCATCAGTTGGCTGCCTCATGTATGCCACTACTGAGGATCGAGCCCACAACCTGGGTATGTGCCCTGATGGGGAGTCAAACCAGTGACCTCTTGGTTCATCCACACTGCTAGATTATGCTTCTATTCTTTTTGTTTGTTTGTAATTTTTTTATTTCTTTATTGATTAAGGTATCTCATATTTGTCCTCAACCCCCCCCCCCCATTTCAATCTCTCACCCCTCCCCACTCATGCCCATACCCCCCTATTGTCCTTGACCACTGGTTCGGCTCATATGTATGCACACAAATCCTTTGGTTGATCTCTCCCTTTTATCCTCACCCTCCCTGTGAGGCCCAACAGTCTGACCCAGGGCTCCTTATCTCTGGGTCCGCTCTTGTTCATCAGTCTATGTGTGACTGGCTGTGTGGCCCTGGCCAAGGCCCTCTGAGCCTTAGCTTTCTTCTCTGTAAAATGGCACCTCCTCCTAGGTCTCCAGTGACTATTCCGGGGGGTGAGTGGGTGTAACTCCCTTAGTGCAGCCGTGGGATACAATGGCGGCTCCACAGACAGACGCTGCTCATGGGGACGCGTGCTTTGATCGCTTCTCTGTGTTTCCCATGACACGAGGGGGGCCTGATTCGCCCCAGGAAGGCTGCACACGGCAGCTGAGCCACCTTAGTGAGAACCGCGGGGACATGTACAAACCCAGACACCTAAAGCACATCATCCCCCCTCGCTTTCCCGGTGTCTCTCTCCCCACTGGGCCTGTGCTGGAGGCCCTGTGCTGGGGGTGTTTCTCTCCTTTCCGCATCCATCTCCATCACGGAAAAGGAAAATCAGTCAGGTTGCTGAGTGCAGGAGCTGGGGATTAAGAAATTAAAGGAAGAAAGAGACCAAGAGGCAGAAATAGATTGATATAGCTGGGCGCTAGGTGGGCGCCATCCTCTCTGATGGAGAGGCAGCGAGCACCTGAGTCACGCAGCAGCAGGTTTACTTATAGGTCAAAGGAGCTTATTTGCATTCTTCAGGAGGCCCTAGCATCACTGGATTTACATATCTAGACTAAGGTGACCAGATGTCTTGCTTTCGGCGGGACAGTCCCAATTTTTAACAATTTGTCCAGCGTCCCGCGGCCTTTTAAAACAGTCCTGATTTTTGGAAAGATTCTTTTGGACTTTTTTAAAACGCCACGGGACACAGGACAAATTGTTAAAAATCAGGACTGTCCTGCCAAAAGCGGGATGTCTGGTCACCTTAATCTAGACCCGCCCCTGCTGACACCTGGACAAAGGTAAGTCAGAACTGACCACTCCCCCCATCCTCTTGGGGCGGTGTAACCCGGACATGACTCTGACAGTGTCTCAAATTTAAAGGATGTCCATGTGCCTTCCCAGGAGGCCCTCTATAGCCCTGCTTCTCAAACTTGAACCCCCGGACAGGGTCTTGTTGAAATGCAGTGTGGATCTCAGGTCTGAGCTGGGCCCAGATTCCACATTTCTTTTCTTTCTTTTTTTTTTTTTTAAATCTTTTATTGATTTTCCGCAGAGAGGAAGGGAGAGGGATAGAGAGCTAGAAACGTCGATGAGAGAGAAACATCGGCCAGCTGCCTCCTGAACACCCCTTACAGGGGATGTGCTCGCAACCAAGGTACATGCCCTTGACCGGAATCGAACCTGGGACCTTCCAGTCCACAGACCAACGCTCTATCCACTGAGCCGAACTGGTTTCAGCAGATTCCTCATCTTTAACACGCTCCCAGGGGAACGCCGCACCCCCAGCAGCCAGGCTCTCACCCCCAGGGTGGAATTCCGTGTGCACCTCTGGGAGGCGCACACACGTGAGTGAAGCCAGTGAAGGGCAAGGCAGAAGCACGCCTGTGTACCTTGGCTCCTCCTGCAACGAAGCGTACCCCCTGTCTGCTCCCCTGCCTCGCGTGCACACGCACAAAATCCAAAAAGGAGAGTGACATGGAGAGTGGGTCTCCCAACCCTCCCCCCCCACCCTGAGCCACCCCTCCCAGCAGCAGCGGACACAGACCTCCAGGTCCTCAATGTCCTCCAAGGGACAGCATACACGTGTGTGCACGCATGTGTGTGTGCGTGTGCATGTGTACAATATATGTATACATGCAAATGGTTTTTGCACCGGGGTCAGCAGAGCGTGCGGCTTAGCATCTTGCTCCCTTTACTGGACCTTGGAGATGACCCCATTCCCGCTCCTGTGGTGCTGCCTTATTCTTTGCCATGGCGACGGTGTCTCCCGTTTTATGGATGTGTGCTGTTGCAGGCTTAGTGTGTTTCCAGTCATCTACCAGCACAGGGATGTTGCAGTGCTTGGAATTATGCATCGTATGTTTGAAGGATAAATGAGACTTTTGGTGTATCAATTGGGGTTGTACCAGGGAAACTGAACCAATAGGATAGATGTAGGTAAAGAAATAAATGTGTTTTAGCCCTGGCAAGTTTGGCTCAGTGGATAGAGCATCAGCTTGTGGACCAACGGGTCCCGGATTCAATTCCGGTCTGGAGTATGCACCTTGGTTGCAGGCTCCTCCCCGGCTCGGGCCCTGGTCAGGACTCCTTCAGGAGGCAACCAATCGATGTGTTTCTCTCTCTTCAATATTCCTCTCTGTCTTTCTCTCTCTCTTCCGCTCTCTCTAAAAATCAATGGAAAAATATCCTCAGGTGAGGATTAACAAAAACAAACAACAAATTAAAAGAAAAAAAAAATGTGTTTCTAGGAACTGGCTGATGGGTTGTAGAGCCTAAGACCATCGGAAAACACATATTTTTACATACGATTCATCACAGTAGCAAAATTACAGTGATGAAGTAGCGACGAAAATAATTTTATGGTTGGGGGTCACCACCACATGAGGAGCTGTATTAAAGGGTCGCGGCATTAGGAAGGTTGAGAGCCTGGCATCTTTCCACACTGTCGCCTCCTAGCCAGCCCAGGAGGCCGGTGCTGGTGTTTTATAGGGAAGGAACCCGAGAGGTCACAGCGCTTGCTCAGTGGGGTCTCTCTGAGCTGCCGGAGCGATCGCCTGTCTCGGAAAGAGGAACTTTCCCCTCACGGGCGGGTGGGGTGGGGGTGGGGAGCAGGGTCGGGACTACCAGCCAAACTGCCTGGAACGTGGCCCTCCTGTGGCTGCTGGTAGCCCAGCCTCTGTTCTGCTACAGCTCCTCGTGGTGACTTAAAGGAACAGCATAGAGTCTTCGGGGCCAAGGTGCAAACAGTGTGAACGTGTCCCCCATCCGCCTTTCGGGAGCACCTCTGACGGTCTCCCGTCAGAAGTGGCCCTTTCATCGTTGGGACTAGCCAGCGGGAGCCCAGCTGGCCCCTGACCCCAGCTGCGCCCTCCGTGCCGCAGGGACCTGTGTGGCCCCTCGCTGCCCGGGGCACAGCTGTGTCCGGTCCCACCAGGCACTCAGGTGGCGAAAGTCACGAGGGGGCACTTTCCTCCAGTGTCCCCTCCGCCCCTCTGTGACCTGTCCCTTGGTCCCTTGCAGGAGGCCAGCCGACGCCTGTCCAGCCACATCCCTCTGATCATCCAGTTCTTCGTCCTGCAGTCCAACGGGCAGCAGCTGCAGAAGGCCATGCTCCAGCTGCTGCAGGACAAGGACAAGTACGGCTGGCTCCTCAAGGAGCGCGGCGACACCAGCGACAAGCGCAGGTTCCTGAAGGAGCGGCTGGCGCGGCTGACCAAGGCCCGGCGCCGGCTGGCCCAGTTCCCGGGCTAAGGGCTCCGTCCCAGCCTCCCGCCTCCCGGGTCCTCTTGGTTAGTCCCCGAGCTCATCCCCGTAGAGCAGAGGGGCCAGGAGGGAGCCACGGTGAGCGATGTGGTTGCCAGATGTGATTGCCAGCCCAAGACTCCAGACCCTCCCTCACGAAGGGTGTGGTTTGGGTTGGGCAGCCAGGTCCTTTCTGGTTAGGGACGTGGTGATCTTCCCATCACATCGTCCCGCTCCCCCGGCTCTCCCCGTCTTCCTTAGGGACCCACGCCCCTGAGCACCGGAGCAGGGCTAGTGCCCGGTTTCTCCCGTGCCCGTTCACACGCCCGATGCTTTAGGACCCTGAGTGCCCGATGCATGAAGCTGAGGAAGCCATACCTTATCCGTTTGTAATAAACGTTTCTGACAGACGTTTCCCTGATGTTTCTCCTCATTTGGGGGGAGAGCCTGGGAACGACGGCAGGTGGGAACGCGGGGAGCTGGGCCAGGTGTAGAATGAGGAAGTGGAGTCAAAGCTCATGGTCTGGTTATTTCTAAGAGGCTGAAGGGAGATGGGGGGAAGTGAAACAGGGTGGAGCCAGCAGCCTTAGCTGTTGATAATGTGCCCTGGTTCGGTGTCTGACTGTTAAATCCCTGGGCACCGGCTTAGAGTTCAAGATAAAGGCCGAGCGGGGAGGTGGCCCAGCGGGCGGAGGTGCTGGCTGGCCGTGGCCGCGGTCGGGGGAGCAGCGGAGGGACTGCTGACCACGGATCACCAGACCTGCTGCCTAGTCTCGCCAGGGGTGGGGACGCTCGCAGACACCCAGCCCCGGCAGCTCTGGGCAGGATACTGAGCCACGGGCTGGAGCTGGAGGCGGGCAGGTCCCACAAGGACCGCACCGTGTCCTCGGAAGTGAGCTGAGCCTCAGGCCCAGAGCGGGGAGGCCAGGGGACAGGCAGAGCAGCGAGGTATGAGCCAGCTGCCCGAGGAGGACTCGGGAGCGGATGCCCTTCAGGCAGACCCACTCCACACGACCGGCATGAGCAGCACGAGCACCTTCTGCCAACGTGTCCAGGAAGGAGGGCTACGGCCCGGCTGGGCACCCGCTGGCCAGGGCCGGAGCGTGAGCTGGTTACAATATCCCCTCCCGCCACTCCGGACACTCCGAGCTCCTCGGTGCTTTGGAACAACTTGGGAATTTATGCACAAGAGGGCATGCCAAGACCATGGGCAGGCAGCACCTTGGTGCCTCGCTCAGGGCCAAACTCCTGCCTGCAGGCTGATGCAGGATGGAGGGCTCCCAAGAGCCGGCAAGACTCCTATTTAAAGAGAAGGCCATACCAGTGTGCACAGACTTTTCTGAGAACCAGGGTAAGCGGGCAGGGCACACATTCCCCGTCCAGTTCTAGGCATGTGTCCCTTTAGGAGACTGGGCCAGCTTCTCACCTCGGAGCTGGGGAGCTGGCGCCTCCTGGTGGCTGGCCCGAGTAACTGCTCCAATACCAGGAGTTACTACCACTGAGCAGAGACACCTGGGGACCAGGGGCACAGGTGCCAGCGTTGCCCAGGGTTCTTTGCAATTGTAATTTCCCTGGTAGTCCCGCTGAAGGCAGAGGAAGAACACTGATGGTCTGTGCTCCAGATGGGAGACTATCCAGCGGTTTGGGGAGGAGGGTAAAGCTGATAAGGACCCAGTCTCTTTCCTTTTGGCCAAAAAGAGCAGGTGTCCAGGGATCTGAACAGGGGAGGAGTGCACTCTCCCTCACCCCCCCAGTGGCCAGGACACGGGAAGACGTAGCTGGAGTCCATGTGGGGGGTCCTTCTGAGAGCAGGAGGGCTCAGGCAAGGGGCAGAGCCGCCCTGGAGGCCCCCCAGCCCTGCCTCACACCCCTGAGGGGCAGACATCCCCAGATCCCGCTGCCCACGCCGTAGCTCCGGCCTGGAGGCCCCTCAGCCATGCAGGGTGTGCTCAAATAGCAATGATGCCCACTCGTGGGCCCTCAGTCCAGGCTCCTCGGGGCTGAGTCTGGAGCAGAGCGAGATGAAGGGCTGGAGAGAAAGGAACTGACCAGAGCTGACTGGACGCAGGGTCTGGCCGGCCGCAGGGGCTCGGCGATGCTGTGGGAGGGAGGGCGGCGAGGGAGGCACCGGTGTTTGTCCAGAGGACTTCCTGGGTGTGTGGTTGCCCTCTAAGGTGCCACGCGGAGCACCTGCCTCATCACTGCCCTTCCCACGCACGGCCACGCCAGAAGCACCCAGCTGGACAGGCTCCAGGGACCCTGTGTGGACCCAGCCCGAGGGGCAAGTCCGCCCCAGCAGCAGCCGGAGCAGCAGAGGGGCAGCCAGGGGACGCCTTGGCCTCCAGGGGTCAGACCCCACCTCACTGTTCCCTCCAGGGAAAAAGATGAGGTCAGGCTCCGAGGCCCCAGCAAGCGAAGGCTGGAGCATCACTCATCACGGAGCCGATTGGTTTACAATGAGGCCGAGGGCACGGGGGTGAATTTCGTAAATGCTCCTGTAGAAGTATCATCCACTCCAGCCTTTCCCTAACACACCGGAGCCTGGGAAAGGGCGCTCAGGCTCGCCTCGGCCCCTCTGCACCCACAGCAGCCGAGGGCTGTGGGGCTGGGACCTGTGGCTGTTTGCGAAGTCGGGCTGCGGAGGCAGGGCTGGGTGGAAGGGAAAAGGCTGGAAAACTGCGGCTGGACCAGGGGACCACAAAGCAGAGAGCGATGGGATCCGACCGGAGCGTAAGACAGGACTGGCCCTGTGACAATGCAGCGGGTGTGTGTGTGTGTGTGTGTGTGTGTGTGTGTGTGTAAAGTGGGTGGGGAGGGGAACACACGCAGGGCACGGACTGCGGACCCAGCTGCAAGAAGCAACAAAACGACCGGCTTGAATTATGCGCTTTCATTAATGCTTACGTTTTCCTAAGTCTTCTGGGTCATTTTATATTAAGCAAATTAACTTCTTTGCTTTTTTTCCCCAATTTTTTTTTTTTTAAGAGAGAGCAGAAGACTGGGAAGGGGTGAGGGATGTGCCGAGGGGTCAGGGAGGCTGGGGGAAGGTCAATTGGGGGGGGGGGAAGAGAGAGAGAGAGAGAGAGAGAGAGAGAGAGAGAGATGTACTACTACTTGTAATACTTTAAACAATAAAAAAAAGAACAGCACAAATGCAAAAAAGAGAGTGGAAGAGAGAGGGAGAGACAGAGAAAGAAACATGGATGTGAGAAAGACACATTGATTGGTTGTCTCCCTCATGTGCCCCGACCAGGGCCGGTGGTCGAGCCTGTAACTGAGGTACATGCCCTTGACCAGAATCAAACCTGGGACCGGTGCTCGGACCACTGAGCAAACTGGCCAGGGCTTAATTCTCTTTATAGAAGTATGACTACAAGCGTATTTGTATGTCCCTAGTCTCGGCACTTCGGCTACACCTCAAAGTGGAGTGAGCCTCACCCCAAGGAAAACCTCTCACAGGTGAATCCCAGGTGAAAACCGTACCGGGAAGGGCTGGCGCTGCCCACGTGGACACTTCTGGGCGTGGACTCAGCCATCAGACCGACTCCTTCCCTGTGAATTGGCCCACTCGCTGAACCCTGGCGTAACCCCCACTCAGAGCTAGCAGCACGTTTGTGCACGAAGCAGAAAACCCTCAGCCGAGGGAGAGTGGGACGCCAGAGACTCAATGCATATTTGGAAAAAGAGCATAATTTATTTGTACAACATTTCACAGTTCAATTTACAGTTAAAAAAAAAAGGATACAAAACAAGACAAGGGTCACATAAATAGGAGGAAAGGAGGAACGGGCGCTCCCCAAGAGGAGCCGGGAGCCTCAAGGCCTGGGAGACCTCCAGACGCCGCTGCCACGGGGGCCGTGGAGCGAGCATCCTGGGAAGGGCACAACCTGCCACTCAAGGTCAAGTCCTAGCAGTGCATCCTTCCCTTCCTGGCACCCGGCGTCCCGGCTGAGCACTGGCCTCCCCGGCAGGTCCAGCGTGGCCCCTCCTTCCAGGGGACCCCCAGGGGCCGGGAGGGGCCTGCACCCCGAGTCCAAAAGACACTTCTTCACCGCAAGCGCGTGCCGCTCTTCCGCGAACGCCTTCCCAGAGGGTGAGGCCGGGCGCAGGTCCCGGGGAAGGCGGCTCCTCCTGGCCGCGGCTCCCCCTGGGCAAGGCCCACAGTTCCAGGGGGCCTGGCGTGGCCACAGCCCGGAGCGTCCTCGTGGGGCCTCCCTGCGCACTGAGGTAGCGGTAACGTGGAGACCGTGCGGGCGGATAGAACCGTTGAATCACACATCCCTGATTTCCCCAGGAACCTCGATTTCCCGTGATTAGTCTTAATGGCTGCAGGCTCCAAGGGCCCTGTCTACCCTCTCCCCCACAAGAAGAAAAAAGGTCTCTGTGCCCCTTCAAGGGACCATCAAGTCACCCCCCCATGAAGGGCGGGTCCCTGGGTTTCCAGCCACCGCCCAGGGCTGCTCCGAAGTCAGTCAGACCTGGTGAGTGGGAATACTTGTGGGGAGACAGGCCCCGGCCTACTCAGCGGCCTCCCTAGCAGAGGCCCAGAGCGAGGCGCCCTTCCCATCTCTAACCGTCCACAGCTGAGTGGTCACCAGCCCCACAGCACCCCCTGGACGGGCTCAGAGGAAGATGCGGGTAGGCAGACTCCAGCCCTCTGCCCCGCGTTGGCCGGAGACGCCCACACCCAGCCCGGGCGGTCACCCCCTTTGGACAGAAGCTCGGGGAGCAGGGCCCGGGGAGGAGCCACCGTGGCCTGATCAGCACTGTGGAGACTGCCAGAGACGGACAAGTTCATGGTTTAATCAAAACGAAAGGACCTCTGCATCATCGCTCACAAACACCGGCACAGGGAGGGCAAACCAGCCCCTCGCTGTCTCGTCGACCGGCGTCGAGGACAAGGCCGGACAGATCAGCTGTTTGCCTGTTCAAAAGGGAAAAAGAAGAGGTTATTTAAAATATATATATATTTTAGTCAAAACCGGTTTGGCTCGGTGGATAGAGCATCATCCTGCGGACTGAAAGGTCCCGGGTTCGATTCCCGTCAAGGGCATGCACCTTGGTTGTGGGCACATCCCCAGTAGGAGGTGTGCAAGAGGCAGCTGATCGATGATTCTCTCTCATCGATATTTCTAACTCTCTATCTCTTTTCCTCTCTGTAAAATATCAATAAAATATATTTTTTTAAAAATAAAAAATACATATTTTATTGATTTTTTACAGAGAGGAAGGGAGAGGGAGGGAGAGAAACATCCATCAGCTGCCTTCTGCACACCCCCTACTGGGGATGTGCCCACAACCAAGGTGCATGCCCTTGACGGGAATCAAACCTGGGACCCTTGAGTCCGCAGGATGATGCTCTATCCACCGAGCCAAACCAGTTAGGGCAGAAAGGACGTTATTTCCTTAAGATAAACACAGATAGGAAACTTTTTTCTCGCTCTAGGTTGACAAGTTACGGATACACCAGCTGAGCAAGCCTCAGAGGACAAAGGGACGTGGTCTCCCCATGGCACGAAGGTCAGGACTGAGCTGACCGTGGTGGCGGGCAGCTGGGCCGAGGACCAGGCGTGCCTGGGCCTGGAGGGAGCGGGGAGCCGGGTGTGTGCGGAAGCAAACCGCTCAGCAGACAAGATGTAAGCTGACAAGGTCCTTGCATCTGAGGGGGCTAGAAGGGCTGGCCTCCTACCCAAACAGTTTTCCCTGACTTGTTTGGATGGCCATTATCAGTAGAATGGAAGTCATTTATGTAGTGGCAGAGCAACATTTTATGTCTTTCCAGGAAGTCTGTATTTACCTACTGAAGATTTGTTGTACTAAGAATTTGTCCTTCTGCTCTATCTCTCCTTTAGAGATTAAGAGGAACAAGAAATGCACTCCTCTTGACAAGCCTCCTAATTAGTGCCTTGTGTATAGAAAGCATTGCGCAGTGAATGACCTTGCTACAGTTCCTCAATGACTTATAGTCCTCTCGACCCTGCTCTTCTGTCTCTCTTTTTTCCCCTCAATTCCCACCTTCCTACCTCAGCCCGGTTCAACTCGCCAGGCAGGCCCCCGGGACACAGGCCTTGGCTGGGAAACTCTCTCCACACGGCCACGGAGAGACACCCGTGTCCAACTGCCTGGCTCCCTGCCCGTGGCCTCTCCTGCACCAGCCTTCCACCCGTGCAGTGTGCTCTCTCACAGACCCAGCAGACAGCCCGCCCCTGGGCCTGGCTCCCCTCCACCGGCAGCCCCATCAGGACATCCTGTTCCAGCTCTCGGCCCTCTGCCGGGTGCGGACTGGACAGCCGCTGTGGGCACTAGCAGTATGAGGCCTCTGGTTTTATTTGGGGGCCACGTCAGACAATGCCCTGGGGTCCTGTCCCCCTCTCCAGACTGGAGACTTGAGAGGACACAACGAGAAACTACGTCTCTCACTGGCAGGGGCCCCGGGATGGAGAGGGACCTGGCTCTCGCCCGGGACCCGGGCAGCGCCGGGGAAGAGGTCTCCGCTGAGCAGCGGGGTCAGGCCGGGAGTCCCGGGGGCGGGTGGCAGGGAGCCCCTGGGACCTCCTGTCTTCACCGCCTCCGTTCTGTGTGCACCCAGAGCCTCAGCTGCTCCCCAACCCGGCCTGGGGGACCTGCCCAGGGTGCCCTTGATGGCCCAGAAAAGGACAGGGCACCGTCCCGGCTCCACTGGCTAGTTTGCATCCCTGTGCTCTCTGCCGGCAGGTGGAGCCAGCTGAGCCGGGACTGTGGTCAACAGAGCACGGCCCCGGGTGAAGTCAGCCCTGCCGGCTGCTTCGTCCACGCCCCCTGGGCTGCGTGCCAGGGAGGCCCCCAGCAGTGACAGGTGGACACGGGGGCGGGAGGGGGAGGAATGGGGGGGACGGGGCAGTGTGGGTGGCCCTCAGCTCCCAGCAGCGGGACCACGGCTCACAGACACCTGGGCTGTGACACGTGCCCGGAGGACAGGGAACTCACCTTCATTTGCCGGTAGATCCAGTCTGTAAACATCGTCACGTTCCCGTACACGCCCGGCCTGTTCGCCTTGGCGCAGCCGGACCCCCAGCTGGTGTCCCCGATCAGCCACCAGATGCTGCTTTTCAACGTGACCAGGGGGCCGCCGCTGTCGCCCTGGGGACAAGCACGCACAGAGCAGCCGTCAAGCCCCCGCCGCCCACGCCACGGCCTCGCACGGGGGCTGGGGTCTCCGTGGGACTTCCCAGGGGGTGTGAGGGTGTCCTAGCTCCTCCAATAGGTAAGAGCCCTGGTCGGCAAACTGCGGCTCGCGAGCCACAGGCGGCTCTCTGGCCCCTTGAGTGTGGCTCCTCCACAAAACACCACGGCCTGGGCGAGTCTATGCTGAAGAAGTGGCGTTAGGAGAAGTTTACGTTTAAAAAATGTGACTCTCAACCAAAGGACGTATGTGCACACACATGAGCCTCACCAGTGGTCAAGGACAATAGGGGGGTGGAGGCATGAGTGGGGGAGGGGATTGGAATGGGGGGTTGGGGACAAATATGTGATACCTTAATCAATAAAGAAATTAATTTAAAAAATAAAAAATAATAATAAAATAAAGAATGTGGCTCTCCAAAGACATGTCAATCGTTGTCCTGTTGCTATCTGGCTCAGTGGACTAATGAGTTTGCCGACCCCTGGGCAAGAGTCATAGAATCCCCCAGAGACTGTGCCAGTGATGCAGTTTAGCCTAGACGAGCTGAGAGTTAGTACGTCCACGGGCGGCTGCATCTTAAAGCAGCCCCGACCTTATTCCTGCTCCGGGGATGCGTGGCTCACATAAACCCCCACCCCAGGGACGTGGAGCCTCCTCTCCCAGCGGGGAGCACGGGGCTCACGGGCTCGGTGGGGTGGGCGAGAGCGGGCAGCGGCACACACCTGGCAGGAGTCCACGCTGCCGCCCAGGTAGCCGGCGCACAGCATGGCGGGCGTGACCAGGTTGTTGTAGACAAATCTGCTGTTGCACTGCGCCGGCTCGATGAGGAGCACCCTTGCCGCGTTCAGCACGTCCGACGTTTTCCCTGAGACAGAGCGGGTCACGGCCGTCAGCGCAGCCCGGGCTCCCACGGGAGGGCGGGTCCCCTCCGGGAGACAGGCCGCGGGGGACGGACAGGAGGCCCTCCCCCCCACCTCCTTCCACCTCCCACCCCGCCTCCCGGGGAACTGGGTCACCCCTGCAGCTGGCCGGCCTGCGCTTCCTGCAGCTCTAGGTTGTTTGTTTGTTTGTTTGTTTTTTAAAGGGAGAACTATGATTTGTTTGTTTTTTGTTGTTGTTTTTTTAAACTATATTTTATTGATTTTTTACAGAGAGGAAGAGAGAGGGACAGAGAATTAGAAACATCGATGAGAGAGAATCATCGATCAGCTGCCTCCTACACACCCCCTACTGGGGATGTGCCCGCAACCAAGGTACGTGCCCTTGACCGGAATCGAACCCAGGACCCTTCAATCGACAGACGGATGCTCTATCCACTGTGCCAAATCGTTTTCGGCAAGGTTTTGGTTTCAGGGGGAAGACTTCCTGGCCCTGCAGCCAGGGGAACACTCCTCCCCCCCCCCCCCCCCCCCCCCGCCATCTCCTTCCCCTACACCCCATGTTCCAGAGTCGCCCTCACCATCACTCAGCAACTTGGTTCATCGGTTCTGCGGGCTCACCCTGCCCCAGTCATCGCTCCCTCTTCTCGGCCGGCCCCCGGCCAGCCAGGAGCTCCTGTCTCCCTCCGTAAGCAAACCGGCTTTTCTGCACCCCACACCCTCCTCCGTGCACTGGTCACACTGAGGCACAGAGCCTGCGCGAACCGCCCAGGGTCACCCGTCCCTCCGAGCAGACCCAGGACTGAACCCCGGGCTCCCGCCGCACGCCCAGGGACCGCAGACCCGCGCCCGGAGCCTCACCTTTCTCGTAGGTGGCCCCCCAGCCGGAGATCCAGCAGGCCTGCCTGGGCTCCAGCATCAGGCCGGGGTTGGGCAGGCACACCGGCCTCACGTTGTCTGTTAGGAGGGAAAAGCGCAGTGAGCACGGCCGGTCTGACAAAGGCGGAGGCCTTCCGCCAGCCCTTCCCCGTGTGCCCGCGGCGGGCCGTCCTGCCCCAGGACAGTGCGGGTGCCAGCGGGCCCTGGCACCCCGCCTCCTGCCTCCGCCGCCACCTCCTGCCCCCGCCGCCACCCATCACCGCTCGCCTCCCGCAGTTGTGCGACGTACAAGTGGAATGATTGGCTAGCTCTGCTTCAAATCACACACAATTAACTTTCCTTCAAACGAAATCCTCAAGAAACAGAAATGAAAAATACACAGCGTCTCCAAGGGACAGATGGTCAGACAGACTGACCGACCGTGGCAGTGGCCAGTGGCCAGGGGGCTGGCAGGCACTTCCAGCTCCCGGGGGCCGTGCTGGACCCGCCTCCACCTGCGCTGCTTCCTGACTGGAAGGCAAGTCCTCGGAGGGCAGGGGTGTGGTTTTATGTCTTTTGCCCCGGGGAAGGGGGAGGGGGGAAGAGGAGAGGGGGCGCTAGAGGGCTCTGGACCCTTGGATGGGCCAGATTGGGGCCCAGCTAAGAAGCGAAGGAATACATGTTGGTTTGTTTTCCTTGTTATTACATTAAAGCCGTTGTTATTACATTAAAGTTGTTATTACATTAAAGCCGTGGTCGGCAAACTGAGGCTCGAGAGCCACAGGCGGCTCTTTGGCCTCTTGGGGGTGGCTCTTCCACAAAACACCATGGCCTGGGTGAGTGAGTTTATTTGGAAGAAGTGGCATGAGAAGAACTTTACGTTTAAAATAATTTGGCTCTCCAAAGGAATTTCAATCGTGGTCCTGTTGGTATGTGGCTCCGTTGACTGATGACCTGGCCGACCACTGGGTTAAAGCCTTTGATTTCCGGAATAACGTGGAGAACGAAAGCATCTTTACAAGCCAGAGGGCATTGGCCTCTCGGGCAGTGACGCTGCCCCAAGGGGCGTCTGACGAAGTCCTGGGACCCCTTTGCCTGCACAACGAGGCAGATCCTGGCATCGAGGGTAAGGTGACCAGACATCCCGCTTTTGGCGGGACAGTCCCGATTTCTAACAATTTGTCCCACGCCCCGTGGCGTTGTAAAAATTGGGACGCGGGACAAATTGTTAAAAATCGGGATTGTCCCACCAAAAGCGGGACGTCTGGTCACCTTAATCTAAGGGGCAGGGGCCGGGGTGCTGCTGAGGGCCCACAGTGCACACATCCCTCCCCCGAGAACCTGCCGGCCCCCGATGCCCATGGTGCTGGGGTGGAATCCCCTCCACACGCTCCCTTTTGGTCAACTTGCTCCCCGGACACGGAGGAGAGTGTGGTGCTCCCTGCTTCCCTTCACCCACACGGCACCTTTCCAGGGGGCCTGGCTTCTGCCGAGCACACACCTGTCAGCCACCCCTGCCTCCCCGGACCCCAGCCCAGGCTTTCTCTCCAGCCAGCCGCCCCTCCCGCCGGGTCAGGGGGCTCCCCGCCCGGGCCCGCGGACGGAGGCGCGTACCGTTGAAGCTCAGCGGCGTCTGCAGCTTCATCAGCGCGATGTCGTTGTTCTTGGTCTTGGAGTCGTAGTGCGGGTGGGAGATCACCTTGCTCACGCGGTGGGCGTTTCCGTAGAACATGGCCGACTGCCTCAGGATTCCCGCGAAGGCCATCCAGTTCCGGGGGTGGTTCAGGGGCCTGGCGGGTGGAGGTGAGCACCGCTCAGCATCCCGGAGCCCGCAGCGCGGAACACGCACCCGGCGAGCGCAAGTCCTACGCTGAAGGCACGCGTTCCCGCGGAGACAGGGCCACCACAGCCAGGGAGACGGGCGAGCAGGTGTGGGGCCTCCCCAGTCCCCGCCTGGGCCCGGCCCCACCTGCACACTTGCCCGCCTTCTACCCCCTTCTGCCTCTGGGCTGAGTCCTGGGCCCCGGGGCTCCGGCAGCTCCAGCAGCAGCCCCTGGACCCTCCCAATAACGAGAACACTGGGTCTTAGACCTACCTGCCTCTCTGAGGTTTTAAACTTCGTTTCGGGCAGGACCCGGTCTTACCTACCCTGCCTGATGTGCTAGGGATTTCCTGACACTCAGAAGGCGCTTTATGAATGTGCAGGGACAAATAGTCTCTAGCCCTCAGCTTTATCTGGGCGTTTCCCACACACCTGCCATGTGTAGACACCTTGCATGCACCACCCGAGGCCACACAGCCGAGCCAGGCCCAGAATCACGCTGAACCAGGAAATAGCTCTGATGAGTGAGTTTTTCTCCAAAATCGACTCGTAAGCAAAAAACTCCATGTCTAAGCCCTAGCCGGGGTGGCTCAGTGGATAGAGCGTTGGACTTCGGACTGAAGGGTCCCAGATTCCATTCCAGGCAAGAACACACAGGCCCGGGTTGTGGGCTCCATCCCCAGTAGGGGGTGTGCAGGAGGCAGCTGATCAATGATTCTCTTTCATCATTGATGTTTCTCTCTCTCCCTCTCCCTTCCTCTCTGAAATCAATAAAAATATATTAAAAACAATAACAACAACTCTATGTTTAAGGAAAAAGGGGGGAGAGGGGACAGTATCTTCCACCAAAGCTAACGCCATAAATTATCCCTTTGATTTGCCCCTCCCAACAGGCTGTGTGGGAACCTGTGTGAGGCCAGAGGGAACCTCCCCGCAGGGCAGTGTGTGATCCCCGAGTGTGTCTGAGTGTGGCCTCTCCCAGGACGATGGTCCAGAGATCAGAGCTCCCCCGAGGGCAGGAGAAGCCAGTGACACCCAGCCCGACCCTGTGTCCTCGCTCCCAGAACCCTGCCCTCAGCGGACGCCCAGTGCACACCTGCTGAGGGGTGGGCATGGCCACGGGCAGCATGTGCCGTGGCTCATCTGACCCCCTCCCCCCGGGACAGAGGGGGCGCCATCACAGCCCCGCTTATACACAGGGAATCGGGAGCTTGAAGAGGCCACCTTCCCCCCCTCCCCACGCAGGAGCCCGCTCCCCTGGAACATACTCCTCCACGCAGTGGGCGGCCGTCACGATCCACTCGGGGGTGATGATGGAGCCTCCGCAGACGTGCACGCCCTGCACGTGCAGGCTGACCTGCCAGGGCCAGTCCCCCGGGGCGGCGCTCGACCCGCCCACGATCCGGCTCTGCCGGCCCATCTTCGAGTTCACCCCGCACTCTGGAAGCGACAAGCACGACAGAGCAGGCCGGTGAGCAGGATCGGGGCCACCCTGCACCCCGATACCCACCCGTGCGGCGTGCGCCCGGACCGCGCCCGTCCCCAAGGCCCCGCCAGGCTGGTGGACGGCGATTCCCACCTCTCTTTCCGGGTTGTTTGGGATCTGGCTTTGGGAGAGCGTGGCCTGGTCCCCTTTAGGGTGGAGGGATGCGGGACACCCCGTCACCCTGAGGTCCCCCACCCCCTCCATGCACCTCTTAGACTGCCACTGTGACTCCAGACACCCCCGTGGGTCCTGGGTGACAAAGGCCCTGGATCTCCTGAGCCCTAGCGCCGTGGTCGGCAAATGGCGGCTCCAGAGCCACATGCGGCTCTTTGGCCCCTTGAGTGTGGCTCTTCCACAAAATACCACGGCCTGGGCGACTCTATGTTGAAGAAGTGGCGTTAGAAGAAGTTTAAGTTTAAAAAATGTGGCTCTCCAGAGAAATGTCAATCGGTGTCCTGTTGATAGTTGGCTCTGAGGACGAATGAGTTTGCCGACCACTGGGCTAGGGGGATTGAATGCTCAGGGCCCAAGACCACAGAACCAAGTGAAGGAGGGATTCCGCCTGATGCTGGTCACCTGCCCACCGGTGCTGGCGGGCCGGAGGGCGGGGCGGGCAGCTTGCTCCCTTGGTACCTACAGAAGCTTCTGCCCAGGGGGCTGGGAAGCTGCTGCCAGGCCCCAGGGAACGTCAGCTGAGCTCCAGGACCGAGAGCTGGTAAAGGAACAGGACGGGGCGTCCCTGAGCGGAGCCCAGGGCCGAGCCTTCCCTGCTGCTAAGCTGTTTGCGAGCAGAAGTAACCCAAACACAGCAGGGGCAGCCCCAGGCCGCCCGCTCCACCTCGGTCGGGGCGGCTTCAGAGGGGCCCCCTTCTCTCTCCACCCTCCCAGACACAGGGGATCCGTGTCCAAAAACACGGAACCAAAAAGGGAAACCAAGGCCCACTTACCTATACAGCGTAAGGAAACCACTGTTTTTGAAGAACAGACGTCGCTACGAAAGAAGAAAGACAACGGTGGTCACCACAGATGAGCCATTCGACTCTCACAATGCTCAGAATGTTCTCCCGCGTTCTCACTCCCCTGCCTCCCCAGATGGGGGGGGGCGGGGCGCGGAGTCCGTGACCGAAGGCTTGGATCAGGAAAGTACATCCATTCAGAGGGCAGTGGTGAAGAGCAGACACCGAGAGTGGGTCAAACCCGTAGTGGCTGCGTGACCTTGAGCAAGTTACATAACCCCTGCGCCTCGGTTTCCCCATCTGCAGAATGGGCTGATCACAGCACAGGATGGCTTCGAGGGCAAGTACGCAGCAACATGGGCCCATTATGTCTATTCCGGGATGCTATTTTTTATTATTATTTTTTAATATATATTTATTGATTTTGTACAGAGAGGAAGGGAGAGAGATAGAGAGTTAGAAACATCGATGAGAGAGAGTCATCGATCAGCTGCCTCTTGCACACCCCCTACTGGGGATATGCCTGCAACCAAGGTACATGCCCTTGACCGGAATCGAACCTGGGACCTTTCAGTCCCCAAGCCGACGCTCTATCCATTGAGCCAAACCGGTTTCGGCTATTCTGGGATTTTAAATCGGCCTCTACTTTTAAACTAAGGGGGCCATTTGTAAACGTTGGTTTCCTATGATTGCTTCACATTCATCACACAGAAAACAATACAAGCCATTATTTGTCTGGGAGCAAAAAAAAACAAAAAACAAACAAACAAAAGTTACTGCTTTGGAAGGTAAACATTTGAGGTTACAGACGGAATAGAGGTAACCGAAGCGTCCTGGTGTATAGCGAATGTTCCTCCTAAATGCTGGGGAGGAGAGAGGCGGCCTCGACATCCGGGCATTCACAGCTGGCCACGGCCCACGACACACCAACCACCACAGAGACCAACGCCGGGCCGGCCCCCTGCTCCCGAAGGTCAGCACACAGCCCGCCGCCCAGCCCTGTCTGCGCGGACACCGAGCCTGGGCCCCGTCGGGGACCCTTTCCTGTGAGAGGCGGCACCTTCTATGCCAGCCCCGGGGTAGCCTGGCTTCATGCCACCCCCCTTCTAGGACAAACGTGCCGAGACGCCAATCCAAGAATCACCTCGGCTCCTGCCGGCGTCCAGTCCAGAGCAAACCCCTGCCTCTTCGAATCTTCCCCAAAATGACCCAACACAAGCCTGAACCCGGTAAGCCGCTTTCAACACCTTCCTGCCCACACGGCCCACGTGCCAAGGGCGACGGCGTGTCCCGGCCATCCTGGCTGAGGGACACTGGCAAGGCCGAGGAGCCCATTCCCATGGAAAGGTTTTTTCTAAGAATCGAACCTGGCTGTGCAGCCTTCAGCCTCCGGCTCGCTGCGGCCATTCCGGGCCCCACTAGCGGCTCAGAAGTAAGACCGACAATGTAAGAAATGCCCAAACCTGCACGGATGTTTTTATGAGTATATTGGAGCCAAACTGGCGACAACTGCGGGGAAGCAAAACCTCAATGGATTTTGCTTATTTTATATATCACAGCCAAAGGAGGAGACATAGCGGGTTACAGGAAATCCACTGGTGACGGGTTACGGAGGAGGGAGAAAGCAAAGTGAGGAAACCTCTGGGATTGGATAAGAAGTGAAATGATGGACAGAAAAAAACGTGCCGATGCCAAGCCAAGAATCACCCTCGGCTCCTGCCAGCGTCCAATCCAGAGCAAGCCCCTGCTCCTTGAAGAGCAGACACCGAAAGTGGGTCAAACCCCAGCCGGGTGACCTGGAGCAAGTTAGGTAACCTCCGTGCCTCGGTTTCCCCACCTGCAGAATGGGCTAATCACAGCACCGACTCACAGGATGCCTTTGAGGGTAAGCATGCACCTTCTGATGATCAATGCTTCCACAGAGGTGCGTGCAGGAGAGTTAACAGTCAGCGGTTAACATGGTACAACAATGAGGGGGCTGTGGCTTCCACTCTGACTGTGCTTTGAGGGGGAGGGGGAGGAAATGACTTAGCTATTCCAAAGGTAGGTTATCAATTATGTTATTACAGATGCAAAAAAAGACAACAGGCTCCGAGAAGGCCCAGACTGACCTTGGTTAAAGAAGAACACCGGCCTAGGCCATGACTGCCACCATGGCTCAGCTTTGGTTAGGAAGTTTTCATTCCCCACATCCTATGTGGTCACGTCCAATCTGAGTTTGCAAGGCCGCCACGCAGGCCTCCCCTGAGCTCCTAGGGTGTAAGGTGCGACCCCTTTTTCACCCGCAATAACAAAGGGCAGCTTCTGAGAGCAGAAGCCAAGTCCTCCCACTCTCCCGCCCCCCACCCTACCCCTCAACGCAGAGACCCTGAGAGCCAGGCCAATGCCTCTCTCCCCCCTGCGAGGCCTTGGTCCTTCTGAGCTCCAGGGCTCAGAGGTGAGGTGGCAGCTTCCGCCCCCACTCGGCCCCATTAGCCCCGGCCTCGGTCACCCAGGGGCACAGGCGGCACTCGGCACGGACCAATGCCCAGGCAGCTGTGTTTGGCTTCCCCAACGGGCTGACCGCAGCCCGCTGTTTGGACGGGCACACCTGGCCGGCCCAGCCCGCCTCCGGGGCGCACCCTGTCCCGCTCCCAGGGACAGCCGGGTTCCAGAGGAAGTCGGACCCCAGACACCTCAGCCTCAACCGGCGGCCACCAGGAATGCAAACCTGCTTCCGGCCTTCCACTCTCGGATGGAGGGACAGCGTGATTAACCCAGCCTTCCCTGGCCTGCGGGAGGCGGCTGGCAATACCTGGGCCGAGGGACGGACCTGGCAGCTGGGGGAAGCTTTTCACAAAGGACTCTGTGTCTCTCTTTAAAGAGCACCAGACAATGACCCGCCTGGGGACACTGTCAACATTTTAAATGCACGCCAAGCAAATCGCGTAGCTCCGCCCACCCCTCCCCCACCTTCCTAACCAGCTAAGCCAGTGGTCAGCAAACTGCGGCTCCTGAGCCACATGCGGCTCTTTGGCCCCTTGAGTGTAGCTCTCCCACAAAATACCACATGCAGGCGCCCACATACAGCGCGATTGAAACTTCGTGGCCCAGGCGCAGAAGTCGGTTTTCGGCTCTCAAAAGACATGTCCATCATTGTACTGTTGATATTTGGCTCTGTTGACTAATGAGTTTGCCGACCACTGGCCTAAGCTGTCGACCATGTGACCTGGGATCATGTGACCTGGCGTTTGGGTTCATTACCACCCACAGGGCACACTGTGACCCACCCAGGGCTGCCAGTCAGCCTGGCGGTACAGGAAATGACGGCTGAAGGTGGGTGCTGCCTCCCGGCCCTCCCAGGGCAGCCTGTGACCCCGGGTGTGGGGCTGGGACTAACCATCCTGCTGCCTGGGGCTGCGGCGGTTCCTGGAAGCAGGACATCAGCGCTAAAACCAGCCAGGTGCCAGGCAAGCAGGGCCGGCCACCCTGCAGGGACCCAACGCGCTCTCTTCGTTTCTAGAGACCTCCCCTGACGCACACAGGAGGGTCAGCTCTGATATCCAGAGGGTGAAGAAAGGAGTGTGGACTCTCAGCTTTGCAATGCCATCCGATGGCACAGAGGGCCCAGGGCACAGCCACACGGCACATAAACCTTCCCCGGAACAAACCCAGAGCTGCGTGGGGCAGGGGTCCTGCCCGGCGCCCATGCTCCCTGCAGTGAGACTCAGCTCCGCCCGCGATGGCAGCTCAGAAGTGAGGCCCGGTGTAGCCCGTGACGCCCCCGCCGTGGTTCTCGTGCTGCCCGGCTCAGAGGGGAGCGGCCGCTGCCCTTACCTGTGGTAGAGCTTCTTGTAGAGGTCGGTGTTGCCCGCGCTGATGTTCAGCTTCATGAAGCTGGTGGCCCCGCTGTCGTCCGCTATGCCCTGGCTGGAGTAAAAGCTGTTCCTGGAAAAGACAGAGCGTCGCACTCAAAGGGATGGTTAGGTCGCAAGCTAAGGTTACAAATGCCGTGCTAACACGCCTGGCATGACGTTGAGATGACGAGGGACGCCTCAACACGTCGGAAAACAGCCTCACACACTATGCACCGGGATCGGCGTGAGCATCTCTGGACCCGGTAACCTGAAGGTCGGTGGTGTTTCTAACCTAGTTTGGGTTAGGCTCGTGGTTGGTAAACTGAGGCTCAAGAGCCGCAATGCAGCTCTTTGGCCCCTTGAGGGTGGCTCTTCTACAAAATACCACGGCCTGGGCGAGTCTATTTTGAAGAAGTGGCATTAGGAGAAGTTTAAGTTTAAAAAATGTGGCTCTCACCCTTGCCGGTTTGGCTCAGTAGATAGAGCGTCAGCCTGCGGACTGAAGGGTCCCAGGTTCGATTCCAGTCAAGAGCATGTACTTTGGTTGCAGGCACATCCCCACTAGGAAGTGTGCAGGAGGCAGCTGATCAATGTTTCTAACTTTCTATCCCTCTCCCTTCCTTTCTGTAAAAAAATCAATAAAATATATTTGTTAAAAAAATGTGGCTCTCCAAAGAAATGTCAATCGTTGTACTGTTGATATTTGGCTCTGTGGACTAATGAGTTTGCCGACCCCTGGATTAGGCCAAAGACAAAGAAGGGGATGTGTACGTACATGCGGCCTAACAAAATTTACGGAAGCTAAAATGCCTGTTAGACACACATTCACCCAGGCCCCGGGCCGTGACGGGGGCTTCGCTATGCCCTCAGCCCTGCAGCGGGGGTGGCACGGAAGCATGTCATTAGCGAAGCTGCCAATGTTTCTATCACGTGGTGGCTCACTCTGAAACCTGGCACCCAGAGAACCCCCTGGAATGCCACAGACACCTCCCAGGGACACCCCACGCACGGGTTGGTGGCAATCAAACCACACAGCCTTGGCTCGTGGAGGCAGGGGCTGCCCAGAGTTTCCCTGGGGGGCTCTCGGAGCCCTGGCTGGGACTCGCTGGGTGGGGACACCCCTTCTCCTCTCCCTCCTTCCCTGGGGCTGTGTTCTCTCTCGTATATATCTGGTGATCAGTGCTCCCACACTCAGTGGCCTTCACTGCTGCCCATGTGATGCCCTGAAGGGCGTGCAGGGTCTGCTCTTGCTGACCTTCCCCATCCAGCCTTCCCCATGCACCCCAGCCCCAGCCCCCCGCCATCCTGGGCCCTGGTGACCTCAGCTCAGCATGGTCCTGAGTCACCAGGGGTGGATGGAGGTCAGGGCAGGGCTGGGTGGCCTCAGACAGACAGGGGGAGGGGAGCAGGGGTGCTGTATTGGGCAGCGGTGCCGCCTGCTGGCACGCCCAGGGAGGAGCAGCGAGAACCACGGGCCTCTCTGCCTGACTCTGTCACCACGGTGCCCAGCGCCAGCCGCGAGGCCAGGGCCCCGAACTCACCGGTAGCCCATGTCCTGGCACGCTGCCCGCCCGTAGCTCTCACTCCAGTCGTCATGGCACACGGGGTGCCAGGACTTCCTCTGGGACGAGTACACCTGCAGGATGAAGTTGGGGCCGTAGAGGCGCACTGCAGAGAGAGAGAGAGAGAGAGAGAGAGAGAGAGAGAGAGAGAGAGAGAGAGAGGGGCCCATGAGGCTCAGGCAATCGTCCCAGCTGCGCTGGCCCCGCCCTCCCCCGGACCCCGAGACTCGAGAAGGCAGTTCCTCTCCACAAGGGATCCGCCACCTGCCAGTGCAAATCCTCCCTGTGCGAGCTCCCGGCAGAGGCCTTTGCCTGTGGACACAGGTGACCATGCGGCGGCTGAGGCCAGCCGGGGGCCCAGGCATGTGTGAGTATGTGTACACGCATGGTGGCTACATGGAAGCGAGGCCGAGCAGGAAGGGACACTTGCGAGGAGGCCAGAGCGCAGGAGGATGACCAGGATGCCCACTCTTTCCCGGCGTGCTCCGCGTGAAGCGTGACCAGCTCAGAGGGCCAGCCTTGACTCTGGGTTGGGTACCAGTGACGTTAGCCCAGCTCCGGGAGCCAGGCCTCTCTGCCCTCTCGCAGCCACAAACACACAGTGCGCTCAGCTCCACGCTGCGCAAGGCTGCTCACTTTTCCTGCCGTGTGGCAGGTGGGAGTGGGTGTGTCCCGTCACAGGAACTAACCTGTCATGTCCCTCCCTCCGCTGTGCGATGCAGAGTGAGGCGCACACCCCCTCGGAGCCTGTCTCCTCATCTGAAAATCGGGGTTAACCCAAGGCCCCAGGTAGGGACTCATGATGTAATGGACATGGTCTGCGACCATCATGCCCCGGCCACGGTGGACCCCGGCCACGGTGGACCCCGGCCACGGTGGACCCTGGACACCGTGGACCCCGGCGCCCAGCCCCCGACCACGTGCAGCTTCCCACTCACCGCACTGGTTCTCGTCCTCCCCGCTGGGACAGTGCAGGATCCCGTCACACCAGAGGGAGGCGCTGACACAGGTCCCCGAGGAGCCACACTCCATCCCGGACACCAGGCACCTGTTCTCCGCTAGCAGAGGGACGGGAGGGGGACACCCGTCAGGCTCAGGAACCAGGGAGCCTGCCTCTCGCCCACCAGAGTGTCACCCACCCCACGCAGTGAAGGGGAAGAACCCGCCCCCCTCATTTAATCAGGAGGGGGGGTGTCCTAGCTGCACACAGCAAAGAGCACAGGCTGCAGCCCAGGCCGGGCAGCTCCGTAGTGAGAGCGTCGTCCCGATAAGCCACGGCTGCAGGTTCGATCCCCAGCCAGGGCACATGCAGGAGTCAGGCAATGAATGCATAAGTGAGTAGAACAACAAATGGATATTTCTTTTTCTTTCTCAAACAAAAGGATAAAAAAAATAAAATAAAATAAAATAATAAAAAATAAAAAAAAAGCCAAAACCAGTTTGGCTCAGTGGATAGAATGTCGGCCTGCCGACTCAAAGGTTCCAGGTTCGATTCCGGTCAAGGGCATGTACCTTGGTTGCGGGCACCTCCCCAGTAGGGGGTGTGCAAGAGGCAGCTGACGAATATTTCTCTCGCATTGATGTTTCTAACTCTCTATCCCTCTCCTTTCCTCTCTGTAAAAAATCAATAAAATATATATATTTTTAAAAATCCTTAAAAAAAAAAAAAAAAAGGAAGGAAGGAAGGAAGGAAGGAAGGAAGGAAGGAAGGAAGGAAGGAAAGGAAAGGAAACAGGGCTGCAGGCCAGCAAGCAGAACGCTAGTGAGGCTCCTCTCAGAGCCGGAGGAATGGCTCCAGCCTTGGGTTTGGGTTTGGCCAGGCTCCAGACCCTCTCTCCCCACAGGTGACTCCCTGGGCCCTCGGCTGCTGGGAAAGGCCTGGCGGCAGGAGGAGGACAGGCTGGCCCCAAGGTGGGGCCCTGGGGCGGGGAGCCTGCGTACAGGGTGCCAGGTGGCACCTGGTGCCCGAGCCGCTGGGTAAACGTGGAATGTCAACACCACGGAAACAGCACGGGGCTGTGACCTCCTCAGGTTAGGAGGAAGCACGCAACCCAGACCAGGAGGCTGCCTGCTTCCAAAAGTGGGTCCGTGCATCGCCCGGCTACACGGAAGCAAAGAGAAGCAGCTCACTGTGTAAGAGGGAAACTTCAGGAGGGGCTGAGGGAGGGAGCCTGGCCCAAAGAGCAGGGCCACAGCACCCAGCCCCAGCACCCAGCGCCAGCCCCAACACCAGCCCCTAGAACCCAAGGCCAGCCCCAGCACCCAGCGCCAGCACCAGCTCCCAGGGCCAGCTCCAGCACCTAGGCCCAGCCCCAGTCCCCAGCACCCAGGGCCAGTGCTCAGCACCCAGTGCCAACACCAGCTCTCAGCACCGAGCGCCAGCCGAGCACCCAGCACCCAGCCCCAGCGCCAGCAGAGCACCCAGCGCCTGGCCTCACTCGCGCCCTCTCCGGCCGCGTTGGGGCAGCTCCGCACTTACTGAACTTCCAGAGCAGGAGCGCGGCAGCCACCGCGCCGGCGAGCACGGCCAGCAGGGCCACGGCGATGCACAGCACCTTCTTCGTCTCTGAGAAGAGAACAGGGTTCATTAAGGAGGCGTTTTTAAGTCACGCCCTCAGACGTTATCCATTACCTTTACAACATCGCACATCGGAAACAATGCCTTGGGCACTTAACAATGTGACTTTTATTTTTTTATTTTATTTTTTTAAAATATATATCTTATTGATTTTTTACAGAGAGGAAGGGAGAGGGATAGAGAGCTAGAAACGTCGATGAGAGAGAAATATCGACCAGCTGCCTCTTGCACACCCCCCACTGGAGATGTGCCCGCAACCAACATACATGCCCCTGACCGGAATTGAACCTGGGACCTTTCAGTCCGCAGATCAACGTTCTACCGCTGAGCCAAATCGGTTTCGGCAACAATGTGACCTTTAAAAGCATATCCTGGGAGGTCTTTCTTGGTCCACAGCACTAAACGTATGCTGGAGCAGAAAGCATGATGTGAAGCAGGGGTGGGGCATCCGCCCATGGCCTTATAAGACCCCCGAAACCATTGGTCTGGCCCTGCCAAGCCCCCCTCCCCCCCGCACTGGAAATTCAATTATCCTAGGAGCTTTTCTCACAGGGGGAGGCAGCCAATGAATGATTCTCTCTTCTCACTGATGTTTCTGTCTCTCTCCCTCTCCCTCTCCCTCTCTGAAGTAAAAAAATAGCCCTGACCGGTTTGGCTCAGTGGATAGAGCGTTGGCCTACTGACTGAAAGGTCCCAGATTTGATTCCAGTCAAGGGCATGTACCTTGGTTGCGGGCACATCCCCAGTAGGGGGTATGCAGGGGGCAGCTGACCGATGTTTCTCTTCCATCGATGTTTCTAACTCTCTATCCCTCTCCCTTCCTCTCTCTCTAAAAAAAATCCATAAACTATATTTTAAAAATTAATAATATATATATATATATATATATATATATATGTATATATTAAAAGACTTTGGAAAAGGAAACCAATGCTCTCTAGTCAAAACCGTAGGTCAGGGCGTAAGCCAGAAGGTGTGCAAAGGTTCCTCGGATGGGGCCACACCCCCACCCCACCATTCCTAGGGGAGCTTTGGTGGGAAGGAAGGTGGAGGTGGAAGGGAGGGTGACCGTCCCTCCGCCCCCCTTCATTTATTCAGGAGGACACCGGACTGCGGGGGAGCGGTGTGGGGAGACCCGGTGCACCCAGAGGCACACATCAGCGCTTCTGGAAGTCAGTCAGGCAAGCGCAGCTCTGGAGCGGAGGCCGGCGCTGACCCATCGGAGGAGGGCGCAAAGCCACGCCTCTGGCGTTTTGTTTTGTTACCACATTCTGCGCATTCCACAGCCTGCTCTCAAACCTGCGAGCTGGGACCGGCTTAGGATCACCTGGGAGCCTGGGAGCCATCTCATCGCCATGCAGATGGGCAGAGGGAGGCCTGGCTGCGCAGCTTTCACAGCTCCCCGGTGAGGCCAAGGACACCGGTCCAGGAGCACCAAGTGCCACCCTGCCACCTTATCACCGCGCTGCCCACAGGGATTACATCTCGGGCAGGCGGAGCGGAGCGAGAGAGGCCACTCTCTCTGGGGAAACTCCAAACGGCCAGTCCTCCCCATTGGCCGAGGATAAGCATTTCCCTTGGGCGACTTCCATGTGTGTCATTTTATCTAAGAAAAACACCACTTGCCCGGCGAGTGACGGAATATTAAACTGGGCAGGCTCGACCTCTGGAGTGTGCGGCGGGCACACTGCCCGGCTCTCGCCGGGAGCATGCGGGCAGGGCAGCCCTGGCCGTACGATGGGTGGATAAGGGTTTTGGAACAGTGTCTGCTCGGTCCAGAGTGCTGTGTGCAGCTGTAGGTGCTGCTGAGTGTGATTCCAACTGACTGCCCCTTTACCTTCACCGTCACTCAGCCCTCCTGTGTGTGGTGTCAGCTGCCTGCACCGCAGGCTTGTTGACCCTCATTCTTCAAAACCTAACCTGTCAGGTGTGTACACATGGCGCTTCAATGGGAAATACCAACCGGTGGCTGTTGCTCAAGCAAACAGAGTCATTGAGTCCAAGAATATCCCTTGTACTCTGAGAGGCCTGGGGCCGGAAGGTGACACCTGGCAGCTGACCCCGGGAAGGGCAGGGCGAAGGGGGAGGGGAAAGGCATGTTACCCAGCCCAGCCCCCAGCCGAGGAGAGATGGCCACGGAGCTGAAGGGAGCGGAGAGCCCACTGGAGAAGGCCGACCCCACCCGTGGGCTCCCGGATAGGAAATGCATGCAAAACAGGTTCCTACTTGAAGTGCACAGTCTCCTTGATGGGGACTTGGGCTGCGTGTGGACAGCGGGTGTCGAGGTGTTTGTCAGGACCCTGGGGGCGTACTGGGGCACGGTGGGCGGGTAGTAGGGAGCTGGATACACTGCGTAGGCACTGGGGTCCACAGGAGGTCGTGGCGGGTACAGGTTTTCCGGCTGGTACCCATGGTTTTCGTAGTAAGGCGCAACACCTGGTGGTAATCCCTAAACAAACAAACAAAAAAAGAAGATGAATAATATGCAATCCTAATGACCCTAATTATGCCAAAAGCCAAACTTACCTAGGATAAAGGCTAACCAAGTTTTCAATTAATATTCATTTCTTTATTGAGGTGCTAGAGGCCTGGTGCATGAAATTTGTGCATGGGGGAGGGGGGGTCTCTCAGACTGGCCTGCACCCTCCCCAATCTGGGACCCCTTGAGGGATGTCCAACTGCCAGTTTAGGATCCATCCCGCAGGGGTCTTAACTGGCAGTCAGATATCACCCTTGTAAAAAAAAAAAAAAAAAAAAAAAAAAAAAAAAAAAAAAGATATCCCCCTTGTAATCCGGGACTGTTGGCTCCTAACTGCTCTCCTGCCTGCCTGCCTGCCTGCCTAACTGGTCCCCTGCCAGCCTGGTCACCTCCTAACTGCTCCCTTGCTGGCCTGGTCACCCCATAACTGCTCCCCTGCTGGCCTGGTTGCCCCCTAATTGCTCCACTACCGGCCTGATTGCCTCAGCCCCTGCCACTGTGGCTTTGTCCAGAAGGAAGTCGGACATCTGGAAGACGTCTGGTCAATCCTATCTAATTAGCATATTACCCTTTTATTAGTATAGATAATTGACATATAATATTATATTAGCTTCGGTGTACAACATAATCTGATACTTGTACAAATTGTGAAATGATTACCATAAGTCTAGTTAACTTCCATCTCCATACATGGTTAAAAAATTTTTTTCCTGTGAGAACTTTTAAGATGTATTCTTTTAAGAGCTTTCAAATATGCAGTACAGTACTGTTCACTTCAGTCACCGTGCTATACGTTGCTCCGGACTTATTTATCTTTTAGCTGGAAATCGTCCTTTTTTTACCTCCCTCACCCATTTCACACATTCCCTTCTTAAGAAAAAGTGTGGAAGGTTGGGAATGAGACAATACCTTGAGAACGGGGTATGAAGTTATCCACTAGCAATACTAGAATTATAAATATACCCATTTTACAGAGAGACACAGTCAGACACTGTCACGTGAGTGACCACTTTTACGTAGGCATGTTACTTGCGAATTCCTTTTGTATCTCCTCTTCTCTTACAAAAGTATATCACGTGTGCTCACCATCTCTTATTAAAGGGCATGTACCTGGTTTACAATTGGGGGTTGCTTAGCAGTTCTGCCTTAAAAAAAAAAAAAAAAAAAAACTTCCTTATGCAGCACGCACATTTTGTGGAGAGTATGTGAAATTTTTGGGTCCAAAGATGGAAGGTACGGCCCCAGCCATTGAATTGTATTCTCCGCTGCAGCCTTGTGTTCTTAGAAAGTCCTTCTTCTCTTCCTCCTTAAAAATGGCCTCTGCAAGCCCAGCCAGGCATAGAGGTCACTGGTTTGATTCCGGGTTGCAAGCCTGATCCCCGGTAGGGGGCGTGCAGGAGGCAGCTGATCAATGATTCTCTCCCATCAGTGATGTTTCTATCTCTCTCTCCCTATTCCTTCCTCTAAATAAAAATATATTGATTTCAAGACTCCCCACACACCCGCTAAGCAGGCCACTCTAGATTCTCTCAGCCTTACGCCCGCCAGCACCTTCAGTCGCCCGCTGGCTGGAAGGTCCCCAGGCAACCTTCCTTCCCACCCGGTGATTTCTCCCCTCCTGTCTTGCTGATTGCGATCTCAGAGAAGACCTGTACTCCATGCTTGGAATTTTAAACGGAGCCTTCAGGAGCGCGTGATTACGAAGAAGCGAGCCAAATGCAGGCTCCTGGAGTCCCCCTTCACTTAATCACTCACCAGTACCCTCCTTCTCAAGTCCAAAGAGCACAGGTCTACACCCAGCAGCAGACAGAGAGAGAAAACGAGATGTAATCTCCCGCCTAAACGGGCACGGAGGTAAAACAAGAGCACGTGTGCTCGGCCCTATCGGCGGCATCTGAGAACATGCCGTCCCCCCCAGAAGGCTGCAGCAAGCACCGCCTCTGTCCCGGCCGATCCCCGTGCCGCGGGCTTGAGATTTAAAGTGGCCCAGGAATCTATAACCAGGAACAAATAAGGGCGGGGAGCAAGGGCCTGTTCTCCAGATTTAGGACTTAGAAAACGGTTAGTAACCACAACTCTCCATAAAGAGTGATTCCAGAGCCCTGACCGGTGTGGCTCAGTGGATAGAGCATCAACCTGCGGACTGAAAGGTCCTGTGTTCAATTCCGGTCAAGGGCAAGTACCTTGGTTGTGGGCACATCCCCAGTAGTAGGTGTGCAGGAGGCAGCTGATGGATGTTTCTCTCTCATCGATGTTTCTAACTCTATCCCTCTCCCTTCCTCTCTGTAAAAAATCAATAATAGATAGATAGATAGATAGATAGATAGATAGCTATTCCAGGAATAAGATGGACCTGTGACTATGACAGTGAATGAGGAAAGTGGGGGTTCCAGGGAGAGAGAGAGCTGGCCCGGTGCCCGCAGTGAGGACCTGTCCCAGCGTATCAAGAGCTAAGCTACACAACAGTCTGCTGGCCTGTGTCCCCTACACACTTCCTTCCTGGGACTGACCCCTCTTAGCAGCATCCTGTCCCCATCGGCATCCACACCACCCCGGTCCTGCCCCACCCCAACCCCACCCTGAGGGCCTCGGTGAGAACGCCCCTCTCCCACCCCCACCCCACAGTTTCTGGACTCCCCTCTGAGCGGCTGCTGTGTGCCACGCCCGGCCCCCTGCTCCCCCCCAATGTAAAGAAGGCCTTGACCGACCTCCATGGGGCACACACAGTCCTGACAAACAGCTCTTAACGTGCTGACCACCCTCCCCCACCACCGACCCCCGGAACTACCAGAAGGAATGAGGGGACAAGGAAGAGCGCAGGCGCCTGGCAGCCCACCACTTACTGAGTTCAAAGCCATCTCGACTTCGTCTGCAGCATCAGGCGGCGGGAGGTGTTGGGAACGTTCCAGAGGACCTGGAAGAAAGGATGGCAGGACTGCAATCGTTCCATACCTTTAGTTTCCAGAAGATCCGCTGAGAAAGAACTGGAAAACCGTCCAGCTGAAACCAGTTTGGCTCAGTGGATAGAGCGTTGGCCTGCGGACTGAAAGGTCCCAGGTTCGATTCTGGTCAAGGGCATGTACATTGGTTGCAGGCACATCCCCAGTAGGGGGTGTGCAGGAAGCAGCTGATTGATAATTCTCTCTCATCGATGTTTCTAGCTCTCTATCCCTCTCTCTTCCTCTCTGTGAAAAATCAATAAAATATATTTTTAAAAAGAAAAGAAAAGACAAGAAAGGAAAGCTGTTCAGGTGAGAGCGCCCTCTCTTCAGAACCGACCACTGAGTCCTCCCCAAGCTGCCTGCCGAGGAGTCCGGGGCTGCGGCTCTCCCCGGCCAGGAGGCCTCGGCCACCCGAGGTCACCTCCACCCGAAGGAGAATGCAGGGACTAGGGACACACACGGTGACTCAGCCTCAAGTTCCGCAGCGGCTGCAGGTGGGCGAACACCTGGCCCCGGCAGAGCCACTTCCTGGAGGCATCCCCGGCCCAAAGGAAGCCTCCCTGCACCTCAGGCGGAGAGGACACAGTCACCACGCTCTCCCGTTCGGGTGAGGATTCAGTGAGCCGGGGCAGGCAGGGCCGGGCACCGAGGGACACGGGCACCCATTTATCCGACGTGACCTGGCTGGCACCTGCAGAGAGAGCGCCCGGCGGCACGAGGAAGCAGCCACGCCTGAGCAGGTGGCCTGGCACTCCGTACCCGGTAGAGGCCACGCCTGGCTTTGTAACTAAGCCACGTGGAATCTCCCGTTGTTCAGTAAACACCCACGTGTAAAAAAAAAAAAAAAAAAAAAACACCTGTGAAACACATCCACACCACCCACTCCCCCACGGACCAGTCTACACCCAGAAAAGAAGCTCCGAAGTCATCTCCGGGATGTTTCCTAATGAGAAGGAAGCTCGGGGCCGTCTGCTTGCTGTCTGGGAAGCGCTCACAGCAATGCCTAGAATAAGGTGACCAGACGTCCCGCTTTTGGCGGGACCGTCCCGATTTTTAACAAGGATTCTTTCCAAAAATCGGGACTGTTTTAAAACACCGCGGGACGCGGGACAAATTGTTAAAAATCGGGACTGTCCCGCCAAAAGCGGGACGTCTGGTCACCTTATTCTAGAAAGACCGTCCACACAGAGAGCCCCGTGGGAAAGCCCCACCTGACCTCACTCTCCCTCTTGTGGCAAGTGAGGGCTTTCACCCACCCTCCCTGCTCTCTGGCAATGACCAGAGAAGGCTTCAAGGAATGGCCTTTGCCATCGGCGCACACAGCTCCGAGCTCCCAGTAAGAGAGAGTCCTGGGCTGCGAGGCTGGGGCCAGGTCCGGAGATTTCCCATCGGCACGGTGCCTGGCACACAGCAGGTGCTCCACCAGCAGCAGGCAGCGCGGCGTGTGGGGAAGCCCAGGACCCCTGACCCCAGCTCAGGCTGTGACCTGGGACAAGTCAGTGAGCGTCTCTGTGCCTCAGTTTCCTCGTCTGCAAAAGGAGGCACAGTAACATCCGCTCCAGGGTCTCTGGGGAATGAGATGAGTCGGTGCTTGTGACGCTCTCGGTGCCTGGCACACAGGAAGTGCTGCGTACATTTCTGTTCTAAATAAGAGCGAGCCAAAACTGGTTTGGCTCATTGGACAGAGCGTCAGCCTGGGGACTGAAGGGTCCCAGGTTCAATTCCGGTCAAGGGCATGTACCTTGGTTGTGGGCACATCTCCAGTAGGGGGTGTGCAAGAGGCAGCTGATCGATGATTCTCTCCCATCGATGTTTATAACTCTCTGTCCCTTTCTCTTCCCCTCTGTAAAAAAAAAATCAATAAAATATATATATTTTAAAAATAAGAGCCATAGTAAGGCTGATAAACGTTGAGCAGCCAGTTGGGCGGGAGAGGGGGCAGGAACTAAGCTTGGCATTGGCAGGTTTGCCTCTGGAAATGCACCAGCTCAGAGGATGCAGGGAGGCGGCAGGCAGCGGAACCAGCTCCCGCAGAAAGCTGTCTCCGAAGCAGAATGACCATCCGATTCACGAATCTAACAACAGCGTGCCATGAATAAAACAGGAGGAGGCTTTTCAATCTTGGGAAACCCCACTGACGACATCCCCCCAAATGCACCCAGTCATGTATGTACTCTCCATGTCAGCATAAAACACAAGAACCAGTTCATGTTGATAGCATAGCGTGGACGCTTTTTTATGACGAAAAAGAAGCCAACAGCTTTCCAGGTGAGAGAGAATAGCACGGATCTACATACAAGGGGAGGGGTTCCCGTGTAGGGTTCACGTAACATTTACGGGTAAGCCTTCAAATGGCGTGAGGATCACTATTCCTATACCTTCCCCGCCTCTGCCCCGGGGCGGGGGGAAGCCTTCTAAAACCTCACATCCGCTCAGTGAGCTCCACTGCCCTCTTGTCTAAGCTGGATTAACCCCGTCACCTTCCCAAGATTGATTTGGACCGAGTCCAGCCTTCTGAGTGGGCGTTCTCACCCCTCCGGTCCCTCTGCTCCCCGTGGGGCGGAGATGGGGGGGTGGGGGGGGGAGCAAGGGGGCCCCTGAGCCAGCTCCCCAGTTACAGGCGTGGATGGAGTTTCAGGAAATGAACACTCGATCCACTGGCCGCCTTCCCAGCTGAGGAGCCTTCTGAAAGGAGCGAGGCATCGGGGCTCACAATCCAGGCTTCCTATCCATCCCAGATCTCTAACAGCGAGACCAGGAAGCCGGAGGGAAGGCGCGGGAGCCACGTGAACGGCCCACGGGAAGCCCGGGGACCCCGCGCTCAGGGCAGCGTGTCCCGTCTCACGCAGCCGCCCGTGGCCCACGGAACCTCAGCACCGACCCAAGCACCAGCCTGCGGGCCAGCCCCCTGGTGTCGGAGGAGACTTTGGAGTAGAAGGCGAGAGTGGCACGGCCTGGGGTGTCCTCCGGCCCAGAGGAAGGGGTGTGGGAGTTCCCCCAAAGGAACCAGCGGGGTCTGAAAGGGAAGCCCGCCATCACTCCGGTCCGCTCCTCCACGCGGGTGGCCGCACAGGACAGCGGGCCTCTGTTTTCGGAGAGGAGCCAGGTAACCTGGAGACGGCTCTGCGCCACAGACCTTCTCTCGTGCCCTTTAAAGGACACCGGTGACTGTTCCTCCTCCCCAACACCAGCCACCGCGAGGCACTCTTCCCTTAAGTGGCCGAAAAGCAAACACGCCTCGGAGCGCCCAGCCCCGCCTCGTCGGCGGCTCCCCGTCCACCGCACAGCACAGAGCCCGGTCGTTTCGGTCCACGGGGGCCTTCCTTTCGGGGAGCTGAGTCACGCCTGAGTCACCCGAGGGCCTGCGGTCAAACCCCAGCTGCACCCCATGACATCATAGAGCTGGCCCCAAACAAGCATCGCCTCTTCTCGGAGTGTCTCTGGACACCTCGGCCTACCTTAGCCAGAGGCCAGTTTGAAAAGCCACCCAACTAACGCACATGAGCTCCATCTCAGATGCACCCTGGGAGCGGGTGGGGGTCAGGGGTGTTCCCTGCCATGGAGGACCCACGGACTTCACCTCCCACTCCCACTCAGGCATGTGCTGGGGTGCAGCCCCCCACGGGGCGCCTTCCAGGGGTCACCAGTGTGTGATGCAACGATGGGGCCCAGCTTCCTGGACCTCAGAATCCGTGTCCCCTCATCCAACGCCAAAGCAAGCAACCGCAGCAGACACTCCCTACGCCACGAACAAATGGCCCCCTCACGCCTCCACCGCTGCCCAGAAACACATCACACACAAAAGGATGCTCTCATGCCTGCTGGGGACGGCACACACCTGTTAAAAGTAACAGGTTAAATCGCGGTTCAACACAAACAGTGCACGGCATTCAGACAAACGGCATATACAGTGGAGAGAGAGAGAAAGAGAGAGGGGAGGGGGGAGGAAGAGAAAGAGAGAGATAATCCCGCAGGAGAGGTACTGCCGGAAGCACAGAGTTTCTTTCTCGATGAATGCCTCATTGTCCGGACAAACTTTTCAGGGCAGGCACTGGGTGTGGCCCTTTATTATTATTTTTTAAATCCAGCCTGTATCCTACAAAGAAATGGTTCCGACGCATTTCGAGTTCCAAAGGCCAAGTGAGTAAGAAGCAACGTAAGAGTGAGAGAGCCAGGGAGCCTGCACCTGGACAAACCCCGCAGGCCCAGGTGTGCAACTCGGAGCCAGGCCCGACTGGACGGACGGGTCCGGGTCTCTCCGGAGGGAGTCACACGGGCCACCCGAGGTCCTGAGGTCAAACCCCAGGGGTGAAGGAGCTGGCCCCAGTCAGCCTGTGGAACGGGGATAACCCAGGAGCAGGGTGCGAGAGGATGAAGGGTGTAAGTTCCCAGCACCATGTCCAGCCGTGGTGACAACGACAGCTGCTAGGGTTTCCCTTCCGGTAGCGAAGGGGCTGATACGTGGAGGGGGATCCATCTGTGTAAATCCGAAGGACAAACCCAGGACCACAACAGTCAGAAATATCAGAAAGCCAGGTTTCACGCAACCCAGGGAAACCATGTTCAAATGTCCACTGGGTCGTCCTGGAAAGAGCAGAGTTCTCACACTTACACCCATTGGATCCAATCCTGGAAGATCATTTCTTAAGAATATTCTAGACAGAACCGGACATTCGCTGGGAGGCCAGGATGATGATCGTCTATGCTGTGCGGTCAGAAGCTCGAAGCAGGAACACTAAACCCGTCCCTCGAAACCCCAGCTCAGGGGCCGGAATGAGGTCAGGGGCGGCGTCCCGCCAGGAAGGCCCCTTGGAAGGCGATGACCTTAAAGGGAACCCGACACTGGCTCTCCAGCCACACACGGACCCACAGTAATGAAGACCGGGCTTTGTTTCACCTTCCAATTCGGCTCTCGC